TCATCATTATAATGTTATGGCTATCAGTGCCGGGTTAACGAATTTGCAGCCTGGGGGGAGATTTTAAAATTCTGCCCTTCAAAACGCCACAAAAAAAAAAAAAATATGTTCACAACATAGTCAAAATTGTTCGATTAATCTATATTATTTATAAACATATCGTGACATCACTAGTCTGAATTATTATAAATTAGGTTATTTATAACTAGTTTTAAAAATGTTAGTATAAATATGAATCGTGACTTAATATTTTGTGTTTCTCGATATTCTTTATTAAATAATACAATGAATCCAATTATTTTTTAACACTCTTTTCGTTATTTTGTTAAATGTATTATTATATTAATATGTTATGTTAGTTTTTACTTTTTTAAAGGATTTCCGTATTTTAGGAGAAGTAATTAATTTGTCTTTTTATTTTTTTGTTCAGACCTTTTACTGAATTCAGTAGTTACCACTTAACTTTATGCGTTGTCCACTCGCATATTGATTCAAAAAAAATATACCGGAAGGAAATATTAAGTCTGTTTTCTTTTAAGTCGATCGGACTTGGCAAAACCTTGACCCCGAGATTTGAGAGATGATAATATAATAAAAAACAATTGCTCGGTAGTATACAAATAAATTATTCTGATGGTTATAAATTATAATACACTCGTAGTCGTAGTGCCGTACAAAGAATACAACAAATAAGATTATGTGTCAGTGTGTGTACTGCTTTATTTATACAATTAATACCTGAAAGTAATACGAACAAAAATATTGTAATGTGTCGGTCTGACCGCTAAATAATAATATGGTTTTACCAATAATACGCTGAATGCCCACTGACGAAATAACTGCGGTACAGACGATCTAATATAATATTACTAGGTATTATTATTTGTTATGCTAATGTTTCAATAATAAATTAATAATTCTTCCTACGAACTATATTACAGTAGAAAATGTCAATACTTTTGTTTACGCCTTCAAACAATTGCCTACCCGAGAAGCTGCCCCCTTTCTTCATATCTCCTGGCTCCTACACTTATAAAACATAGTATTATATTCCTCTTGACCTCTTCGATTCACTGTAATATGGGTATAGTAGCTATTACAGTATTACAAGGGTTCACATCCTCCATGGCCTTCCTATTTTAAACTTTTTAGTAGTAAGTTGGTAACTTAGTTCTTGTAGTTTCTTAGAAACTACTGCACATTAATAGACCGAATTTGGCCTAGATCAAAATATGATAACATATATTATATAATTTTTTAAGGAGGCCTTCAATAAAAAAATATATCTTCTAGACTACTGGAGAAATCATAAGTTCCTACACAAATATAAAAATGAAATGTATATAATGTTCCTACGTGGTAAAAAAAAATATTATTATAAATAGTTATACTTCATTTTTTAACATAATATATATAATATATCTATATAAAATATTCATTCATTTTAACATAATATTTAACAACTGTAAAAAAAAAGCGTCTAAGTGGATGTCCCTCTGCTGTAAGTGCAGTAGGTTACAAGCCTCTGTAATCTATGGTGTTAAATTTGCATTCAATGATATAAAACCATCGTATACGAAAAAGAATTCTGAGCGAAAAAGGTCTGTCAGTCTATATAATATTACTTAGTAATTTAGAATATTTGATGATGTTATTGTGATTAAAGTAATTTATTTTGCTAGGTAATAAGCATTGGACATTAGTACTACGGTAGGTTAAATTCACTTTTGCTAAAAAAATTACATTTGAAAAGTCATTGTGTGTATAAAATAGGTATATTAATATATACTCTAAAACTTCCAAGTAGGTGTCCACGAATAATATTTTTTAATTACAACTAAACAACTTAAATCATTATTCTTGGTTATTTAATAATATTATGTAATTTCGCCGTCCAAATTTGAACATAAAAAAAAATTGTGTCTTTACATTTTTTTTACATTTTTTGGTTATAGAATTAACTAGTTGTGCGCAACTTAGTTATAAATTTCCAATCCTTAGCTATAAAAGTTGAAAATTTTATAAATATTTAACTACAATATAATTTGTACACTTTCAATTCGATACATTTTGTCAACATTTGAACTTTAAATGCATATTAAACAATATCGTACCTATATATTATTAATATTCATCAACTGATTTTGTAACAATATGTTAGGAGCCTTGTATTAAATTTTCAAGATTTTCGATCCTGCAAATAAAATTTTATTAACATTTATAGTAAAAAAACTAAAAAAAATGAAAATTGAAAACCTCCGTAAAGCTCAAAACGAGTCAAAATATTTTTAAAATCTTATAAGGTATGAATTCATAAAATAAACATAATATGGTGTAAATCTAAAGTATCTACAGTTATTCATTTTTTAATTACGACAAAATAAGAAAATCGCTACAAGAGAAATCGAGGGAATATCCAATGTTGTAAAAATTTCAACTTCAAACGCTCATGAAAATTTAATTTGACTTTCCGGTAGACATGTTTTTTTGAAAAAAACAATTTTTTATAAATTTTTAACTCATAATAATTTGGACATTTTCGTGACTTACGAATTTTGTTAAAATTCTAAATTCAAACGCTCATATAAAATTGTTGTGGATTCACTCTCAACTTTTTTTTTAATTTCCACTAACAAAAACTTACGAGAAACCTTGTATTATATTTTCAAGTTTTTTGACCGAGAGAAAAAATTTTTATCGACTTTAGTTTAAAACAAAACTAATAAAAATCGAAAATCTCTTATGCCTATAAATAGTTTTAAAAAAATTCTAAATATTTGTATAATGTGTATACAAATTGCTAATACCTATAATCGATGTACACTTGCATGTATTTACAGTTATTCTTTTTTGAGTTTGCCCAAAATTTTTTTTATCAAAAACTCTGTTTTTTGTAATTTTTTTTTTGTTTGAAAAATACGAGGAATTTTAATGTTTGACTTCTCAAAAGTACTTACTACATCCAATTTGTTATTAAGAACAGAGAAATCAATTTCACAATTGAAAATTTAAGCCTTTTTCAACTGTTTTTCGTGTTTTTCTATACGGAAACCAACAAAATTATATATGTTACGGACAAAGTGGGGTAGTCGGGCATTGTGCAACAATAGCCGGGCATTGTGCACAGTGCCCATCAGTTTCGGGTAAAGTATTCAGTTAGTAATAATTGTTTACTATGACCGGTCATTCTATAACAATGTCTGGGCAATTTGGATTGCCCGACATACTTTTGGTCAATGTAAAAATTTACTGTATAATATATGTCGGTACCGCGGAGACGACCTAAGGACGATACCGCGTCGTCTCGTAATTAAGATATTATATACCTAACTCACAATGACAAAATATAACGATTATTAACAATACAAAGATAAAATATAAATATGATAGAAAAATAACAGACGACGCGTATGAGTGTATGTGTGTGTGTGTATGTGTGGCAGGTGTGTGATAGGTGCACGTCTCATATCACTGATGATCGATCAGACTCTGGGTGCAAACACTCCTTTAGTTATCTTATCGACCACCTATCTTTATTATTACTCTAGCTGTTATAATTTGGAAAGTTCGAAACAATTCCAACTTGGGCGGTCAAGGATATAATAGATGTGGTTGTACGCAGAAGTGTAAAACAAAAAAATGCAAATGTAAAGCAGCAGGTAAACTATGTAATTCTAAGTGCCACAGTAGCAATCCGTGCTCAAATAAATAAATATGTATACTAATATTCATCTAATAAATAATAAATAAATTTAATATTTATTATTATATTGTATTAAATTTATTTAATTGTATTGTTTTGAACATGGTAGCATACATTGCCCTTCAAGGATTCGGTCATTGTACACAATGTCCGAGCAATGTGTTTTATTTTCACTTAAACCACTAAAATTGGGCATTGTACACAATGTCCGGGCACTGTGCACAATGCCCAACTACCTCACCTTGTCCGTAACATATACATACATGGTTGAGATATCAATACATTCGTCGTTCTGTATTCAGTGTGTTATCTGTACAGAATTTAAAATGATTTAAGATAGGTATTAGATAGGTATCTAATGTCTTAGTAAGTACGTCCTCATGCATCATCATATTATTACACATTTTATCATAATTACTTCGGGGTTCGATACAAAAATAAAACACAAGTTGTATAATTTTACTCAAGGTGTCAATTTTATTAGAATAAAAAAAATGAACAGTCGCCCCTCCCCCATACTTGGTAGATTTTTAAAAGAAATCTTTGTTTTTTATAGTTAATTTATCAGTAGCTAACTTATTTATTTCTGATTACATTAATAATTAATATTAATACAATTATACAATTCAAAAATTAAGTATCTATCACTTATGAATGATTATTGCATTTATTACATACTATAATTGCCAATAAAAATTTAAATAATTACATTTTAATAAATGTATACAATATTTTGTTGTCTTAGTATGTGGTTAAAATAGTCTATCTATAACCTTTTAAAATGAATTCGTACCCGCGGCATGTGTTGTCTCCATCTAATATTTAGAGCCCGCGATAAGGACTTTTTTATACTTTGAAATACCTATTCATAACTTGCTTCAACATTTTAATAAGCCAATAGAGGGCCCCAAACAATGTTTTTCCTGTTTAAATTTAGAATAGGTCAATTCACTAAAATATTGAAAATAACAGAGTACCTAAGATGAATTATTCTGAACTTAAAAGTTGTCACGTTATGCTTTAGTTAGTAAATTGAACACATGGAGACTATACACGCGGTAGGTACTTATAACGTACTCTTGAAACATAGGTATTTATAAAAATAAATATAAATTATTTTATAAAAAAAATGAATTTAAATCTATAATATGCAAAGACTGAGTTTATACCTTATTTAGTCCCTCTCTACAAATGGTCTTAGGGACGCCACATAAAATATAAAAGTACACATAATTCATAAATTATAGATAAAAATGTAAATACCTAAATATTGAGATTTGCTTGTATTCTTATAATGTTATGTAGTGTAAGTATATTATAATCATGGAAATAATATTATATTTTGTATATTTATCAAATTTAAAGTAGTTTACGATGTTCGATGTTTAAATATTTTGGACTAGAGTAGATTTACAAAACTCGCATCAAGTTGTCCGTACTGTTTCCGTATTGGTCGTTTAGTAGTTCATTGGGTATTTGTCTGTGTTCTCTAGCTGCGTTTTGTTGAATCAGCTCCCTAAGACGAACAAAACAGAAATATTTAAATTAAATGGTATAAATTAATTTTAATTAATTTCGCTAGAACATGGCACTAAAAATGTTTGAGCAACTTTACACTTTTATTTTGATATGCCTCCATATAACCATTTACATAATTTTATCCAATGTACCTTATTAAATACTAGCTATAATAATTGTTTATTAATTTTATACCACGGCAAGGATGATAATCAAAACACGACACACATGGGTACTCACCTCGCTTTACGTTTAAGTATTTCTTGGGCGTTCGGGTAAAACTTAATGGCTTCATTAAGATCTTCTTTGCTTAGAACAAAAATATTGGAAAATCCATGAGACCTGAGTATTATCACAAAATTAGACATTAGTTATTAGTAGATCTCAATATTAAATGACCTAAAAACTATCTTAAGATAACCAAAAATGACCATTTTATTACAAAAGATCAATTTAATGGGCACATATAGTATATTTTAACATTTAAGGAAGTGAAATTAATTCAAAGGTTAAAAAATGTTGATCAAAAAATTGGAAATAAATAATAACTCATCGGCAATGGGTTTTTTTGGTGAACTTCGTGGTGAACATTCATTCAAAACATTCTTTAACAAAAATATAAATCTGAGATTGTGTTACATAATTCTACTCACAACTACTTTAACCTTTTAAAATTCTGAGGTTTTGCTATAGGTAATCCCAACAAAATGTTTTGAAATTATATTTTGAATTAGGAACCTAATTTTCTCTAAAAACTCGAAATATGCATTAATACAAATTTGAGAAAATAGTAGGTAGGCATCGATTACATTAATCAATTTGTTTACTAAGAATATACTTTTATAATGCGTCCCTAAAAAAATGCACTTTGCATTAAACATTTTGCTCCTAGTTACCTATCAGTTATTTTGATGCGATTTCCAACACTTACACATTTATAAATAAATCTTATACAAATAAATCATAATAACTTATTATAGGTATAGGGTATGCTTGAAATTAATTATCTATCTCAAGGCTCAAGTTTTATATTGAAATTATAATATTGTACCTAATTTATTTTAATTATTATTTTTCTTTTTTTTTATATATCTTCATATTAAAATAAATTAATGAAGTTTCAAGAGGGGGGGGGGGGGCTAACTGAACCCATCGACTCCTAAAACTATTTATTTAAAAACTATATTGTCTCCCTTAGCAAATTAGAATTGTTCAGTCGAGTGCAACGAAGTCAGTACAAATACCTTCGACATGTCGCCATTTATAACATCACGTCGAACCACTATCAAATTGTAGGTACCGAATCAAACAGTTTGAACTTTGAAGAGCTTATTAGTGTTATTACCAGCAGAATATATTATTATCTTAAATTTATTATACTAATATAATATAATCTTAATTACCTGACGTCCGCCGTTCTCCGGTTAGTACCACACAGGCTCAACAAACTGATTTCGCCGAACACCGATCCTTCCGTGAGCGTGGCTAATACTTCGTCGTCGTTTTCACCACCGACTACTTGCACCTGTCCGGTTTTCACGATGTACATTTCTTTGCCGACTTCACCCTATCAAATATTAAAAATATAAAATTATGAGTCCCTGTGTGCATTGTATTAACGTGTGTAGGAATCTTCATTCGTATAGATTTAAATTTAAATGCACTGATTGCCAAGAGACATTATTTGGAAAAGATAGCGTATACTTTAGGTCCTCATGCCACACCCACGACATATTATGTTGTTTCCATAACGTTTGTGTTATTAGCTTTGATATTGGAGTGAATTGACCAATTATCAAATGTTAAAGTCAGAATAATGAGTAAAGTAGATACTTAATACTTATCAAATATTTATCTACAGTCAGTGCCGGATTTAGGGGTGGGCAACCGGGGCCTCCACAAAAAAGGAGCCTCCACAATAGTGACTTCGGAAAAAAAAATCTTTCAAATTACAAATGCACCGTCACCCCGCCGCGCGCCGTCACGTCGAAAATGGCCAATAGGATAAAAATTAATTTAACACTGATTGCCGATGGGTAATTCCGGGAAATTTTATGTCGCCAGCAAGTTTGTTTATCAGTAAATCCGGCGCGTCCTAAACCCGCCGCTACCGCCACCGCCTCTAACGATTGACGCGAACTCGCAAACGCTATACGCACAATAATAATATTATTCGATTTTCCTTTTTCTATGTGTGAGTGTGAGTGGTACGACATTATTATTTATTATCAATCAATATTTATATTTAAATGCTTACATTTTGAATAGCAGCAGTATAATACAATATTATAAGTACCTATAATTGACTATTATATTATGAACTATTTAGTACTACTAACTAATATACAGTAATAAGGGGATTGGAAACGGCGATTTGATGCGATCCGTGCTGTCAAAACCAATAGTGGTCATCATATTACCATAATAAAATACAAATATTTGAAAATATTCAACTATTTCACTGTGTGTGCTCACTATAAGTATGGTTGAAATGACTTAAATAATTAACTTGTAAAATAGTTTTACACTTTTACTTAACCATTTTCATTTTGTTTGGTGAATCATATCTGTAAAATATTATGAATACGGACTACACGGTGACCATCTAATAAAATAGTATCTTTACTGTTAGCTTACGAAAAGCATATTTTTTATTATTTATTTGTCTGTTTAAGTTTACATTATTATTAATTCAGTGTAGTTAAATGCCGTTTAATACTCTGCAATACCTAAGTTGTTGCACTGGTATTTTGATTTTTATATTATTCTGAAAGCAAAATATTATGACTTAATTTTAAATTGTTTAACAATAAAAAGTAAACAAAAGAATAAAGAAATACCTAATTAATTTTCTATTGATTACCCGATTATCGAGTAAATGTCAACTTTTATATTAATATTATATATTATAATTATATATATATTGTATATATGTTTGTTAAATACTAATAAAAGAAAAATAATCTACTTTGAAAAAAAATTGTTCATTTTATTTGTAAAATAATTTGGGGCCAGGGGCCCCCACTCCTTTGATGCCCCGAGGCCTCCACTCCTCTAAATCCGGCCCTGTCTACAATAAATGGTTGCAGCACCAAACTGTTCTAACTATAAGTCTACAACCTTTAATACATACACAGAAGTCCTTAATACTCACTTTTCGGCATATATAATCGCCTGGTAAATATAATATCGGTCGCAATTTTAACACCAGCTCTCGTAATAAAGCTTTGTCACAGTCTTTGAACAACTGCACTTTGTTCAACGTCTTCATGTGCACGTTGATGGCTACGTCGGTCTTCATTTTATGTGGCAGAGAGTCCAAAATACGATTTTCATCTGTTTGAAGAAAATACATAATGTTTAAGAATAAATGCATAGAATATGCATTAATAATGTACAATCGTGAGCAATTTTAAAAATGTTGATAAATAACTTATATATTTTATAAAAATTGTTCTTTAAAACCAAAGAATAGAAGCTGCATAGATTAGTAGTATACATGCAATTCATAAACGATGAATATAATATATTATACATGTATTAATTCCAATCAGTATATCGTGATATAGACGTGCTCATTGGTGGCCTGGTCTATTGGCATTACCATAAAACTTCTATTTTTAAAGTAGAAAAATGTGGTAGAATTTTTCAAGCAAACCTCCGTGGCTGTTTTTGTGATTTAAGATTATTTAAAAATCCAGTACAAAATAATCAATAAGCCACTTACTATTTTAATTTGTTTTAATGCAACTCGAAAAAGAAACAGTAAAGTTTAATTGTCTTTGATTTTTAAAATCAGTGTGTCCCTTTAATACAACCAACTATAGAATCAAATTCTGAGAGTTTTAAAGTTTCCACAACAATTTATTATACCTACCTATCCATTAAAAAAATAATATTGTAGGTTATTAATACCTAAATTATTATAAAATCTTTGGAAAGCTTAACTCATAAAGCTCACTCATAACTCTTCCCCCTCCTAAATAACGTGCATGGTAACTTGTAGATAATGGCAAAATACTTAAATTGGACTAATAAAACTTCTCGGCAGGAAATGTTTTCCCAGACCATGCTTGTAGAACCTGCATATTAATATGTATAGGTATTAGGTATAGGTACCTGTAGATTATACAATCTATTCATGCTTATCAAGTATAAAATATAATACGAGTATTATTATCCACCTAAAGTTCTTTGCTGTTCCCAAGTGAACGAAAACCATTGTTCTACCCGTTGCCGTATTCGTGGAGGTATGTTCAATTTCCTCAAATATTCTAACGTCTCGTCTTGAAGTTTCCTGTATTCGGTTTGAGACCTAGTGGCTGTTGCTATTATGTCACGAATCTATGAGAAAAAAATTAAAATATCAGAAGACAATAATAAAAAAAAACTTCATAAAAACGGTGATAATGCAAATTACAATACATATATAATATGCACCTAACATCTAGTAGGTAAATAAAATATACTACAGAAACGCATGGGAGGCTCTAGAGAAGTGGTTGGGGAGGTCTTCCCACTTTATTCAGGCTTAGGACTGAAATTTACAAACAATTCAGAATTTTAAAATACTCATAATTAGCTTTAGAATTTAAATATGAAAAAAAAATGTATGAGATTAATAGTAGATAATTTTAGTTTCAATTTTTTACCACAAGTTAATTTTATACAAATTGACGGTTTGGATCTAAGAATTTGGATGAAACGGATTGAACACGAAATTCGAATAAATGTATTGTATTGTTATCCAGCATGTCAAAATATTGCGTATATTTTTTCTATATGTAGGTACGAGAAAGCGTGTTTAAATAGCAATTTTGAAGGTTTGTGGTACAATAACACGGTTTTTCAATTATTCGAATGAATTATTATGATTATTATTATTATTATTATGAATTGTGAGAGGTAATTTTTTAATTTTCTGGGCCGGGAACTGTCAAGGCTACCTTAATAAATATTTTATTAGGTGTATAACAATAATCTAAACTATACAGATCGGTGACATGCCCGGCTATTTTGAAAGGGTTTCGTATATATATTTTTTGACGATTCCCAGACCACGTTCTATAGCGATAAATATACTTTCATTGCTTTATTGTATACCCATACATACATACTTAATGACGAAAATAATCCAAAAGAGGGACATGACCCCCCCCCCCTCCGTGTGAGTACGCCACTGATACAGATACAAATTCTGACATATACAATGATATACAATGATATGCTTCTATAATAATATAGTTATAAATTATAATACATACCTGTCCGATTAAAATTGCAAACACAAAAACGCCCATCAGCCAGCTAGCAGTCATGAACAAATATTCAGCTTCGTTTTCCGGATGTGGATTTTTGCCGATGGACGTTGCTGTTTTGGTGGCGAAGAAAAAACAGCGTATGTACCTGCAGTGTGATAGGTGCATTAAATTTAAAGGCAAAAACATTTAAGGTTGTCGGTGTTGGTTATGCTGTTGCAATAGAACACAGTAAATAAAAATAGTATAAACCTACCTACCGAGCTTTTATATTAGACATAAACAGGGTGATTCAAAATTTATGTTCCAGCCATTTTATCATATAAATATTCAAAACAGTAAAAAATGTATAATGCAAAATTTTTTTTTGATTTAGAAACATTTATTATAATATCTGCATACTTTTATAATTGTTTACAATATTTTAGGGGTTTTTGGGGGGTTAATTTTAGAAATTCAAATGGAAATCTATAGTTTTTTTAAATAGCTCTCGAGCATAGAGTTTTGCATTAATTAATGTTGTTCATGCACTAAAATGTACTAAAAAATGTCTTCGCATTATGCTTCCAAAAAAGTATAGGTTCAAATTTTAATTTCTAAAATTGACCCCCAAAATTCCCCTAAAATATTGTAAACAGTTATAAAATTATGAAATTGTAATGGATGTTTCTAAATCAAAAAACTTTTGCACCTATTATATATTTTTCATTATTTTGAATATTTATATAATAAAATGGCTGTAACATACATTTTGAACCACCCTGAAGATATTTGATAATTTAAATGATTACTGATTTTTTACTCAAGTATTTGTATATACATTATAAGAAATTTAAAAACATTTTTGATAAACTGTCGGTTCAATATTGTATAGAAAATGTTATTTTTATTTATAAAACTTAGTGAAAATCAGTATTAAGTATAAATTTTCTCAAAATCTTCAGCTCGTCAAAGATAATTTTGATACATGCACATGCCCCTGAAGGAACAAATTTTATTGCTCATCCTACAACATTCTCCTAGGAGGTGGAGGGGTAAATTTAAATACGAAATTTGGATTTTTGTATTTCATATCATAAGGCTATAACTTATGTTTATATAGGTTACTAATATGTTTTTCGGATTGTAAATATTTAAAAAATAAAACATAATTGTTTTAAGTGTAACTCATAAATAAATAATTGTGTATAATACATACCAACTAGCATATTTGTTAAAAATAATTTTTAGAAGTATTTAAATATATTTTCTAATAAGTATTTGAACATATACATTCAAAAAGTATATCGAATTTTCAAATAGGTAGGCATCTACTTTTAAATAATAATCATTTTAACAATAAGCAATTGATAAAGGGAAAATTAGTCCTAATCTTAACTAAAAATATTGTTTAAAAGAATTTTGTATTTAATATTTCTGAATACCTAAAAGCATTTAAAATATAAGAAAAATTTTAATACTTGATAAGTTGTATGTATGCCACTATGCCAGTTATTATAATATTTACCTATCTATTAATTTGTAAAATTCAACATTTGATTATTATCGAAAAATAATGACTTATATTATGTAACTACTTGTTCGCATGGTAGAATTAAGCCACCCCCCTTAAGCTAGAACCTCTACCACTGGCCGATAGCCCAATAACCCGTACCGAGTATGAATTAAATTACTGATTTTTTCATGTAAATTTATACTATTTTATAGTTGTACTTACGCGTTCCCCTGACCGTTGAACACCCAGTTGTTCGTAGCAAGCCCTTCTTTAACCGAAACATAGTAATACGCACACGCATTTAAATGCACTAAGTAGACCATGTACGTCAATGTTCTTGTAACTCGGACTACATACGGCGACGACAAAACGCTGTCGAAATGGTCGAAGAATTCCCAAAACGTCTGAATCTTTATGACAAAAATATAGTAACATGTAGGTATATTGTAAATTTTTATAATTATAGTTAAATGAGTACCTATTTCATAATTTTTATTACAAAATATATAAACGACATAAGTCAAAAAAAAATATATATAAAATCACTATAATTGCTTTCTTCTTGATTATGTACACAAGCAAATTAAATATCTGGTATAATGCAGATTTGCATTATAACTGTACATTTACATGAAAAATAACGGTTTGTTCTCAAACGCGGTGAAAATTTTTTTCTTTTAACTTGCAAAAGATCTATAGAATTATCTAAAGTGAAAAACAATTATAAATTGTGTTATAATACGTGATTGTTTTACCTTAATTATTCGATTTAGTCTCATCAAAGGTAACATTTCTGAAGTTAATCCTGGTGTTAGACATATCAAGTCAGCTGGCAGAAGAGAAATTATATCCAACTAAAAACAAAATCATTATATTAGATAGGTATACCTATCTACAAATAAATTAATCCCTAATTTGAGAATCTGAGCGGGATAATGAATAAGGAATATGTTGATTTTACAATTATAAGTATTTTTGGATCTAATTGGTAATTAAGAGAGGTAAAAATTGAAAAATCTCAGTATTTTTCACAATATCCAGGTTACAAAAAAAATGTATTTAGTCAAAACCAGCTTTTGAAAAAATTGATTTCTTTTTTGACGTAACTAAAAAATTAAAATAACTGTAGGTTCTTAAAACTATCACCAAATTTTTTATAAGTATTTTATTCATTTACATGTTAACATTTTCAAACTATTTTGATGCTTTTTGAGAATAGTACCTATATCATAACTATACAGTATACCTGGAAATTGGAAGACATTTGACACTTTTTCAAGTTTTTTTTCCATAAATGTCGATAAAATTGTTTCCGTTTGATCAAAAAGTTTGAAAATTCAATACAAGGCCGGTCATAAGTTTATTAAAGCCATTTAAAAATATTAAAGGTACATATAGGCGTTAGGCACGATTTCTTTGTATAAGTATTTGAAGTTTAAGTGTTGAAACTTGACAAAATTAGTAAAAATAACAAAATCTGAAGATTATTTTATAGTTAAATATTTTATATAAAGTGTTATAGCTAGAATAAAAATTGAAAATGTAATGCAACGTTCCTCTTAAGGAGCTCATACTGGAACCAAAAAATCTAAAAATATTGTACAAACATTATAATATTTGTTTATAGATATTTATTGTTATAATTTGGACGATATTTTATATATTAAAGAAAACTAACGATACCTTATCTATAAAGTTATATTGTTTCAAATGTTTCAAATCAAAAATATTTTTCGTAGAGATTTGAAACTTTTACGTATGTTATTAATATAATTATATGTAAGTACAAACAATGTCATTTTCAAAACATTTTTATTAATTTTATGCTATTCACTATTTATAGTTTATACCACATATTACTATATTATTATACTAAAATAAATTACTATAGTAATTAAAAGCAAAATATTTATATGAAAATATGCTGACCGCCTCCACTCAGAATTGTTTTTCGTATGTAATCAATAATCATTGAATTCAGATGAACACATCCATTACAGTATGACGAGGGTCGTTCCTTAGTGACGATGTACACTCGACGCCTACAGCAGGTACAGTAGAGCGGTTGTGAATATGGTTTAAGATTTAATTAAAAATTAATATATTCATAACATTAAATATTTTAATTAATTTTCGTGGGTAATGTTACGCCGTGAATAGTGTTAAAATTTCAAAATACCCGTCCAATATCAAAATAATATATAAATTATAAATAGGTACTATGAGACAATATAATAATACAGCTGCTATAAACTATCACAATATTAATATACATCTGTATATTAAATTTTTTGCAGGACTTAAAAATTAAATCTATAAAATTTAATATATTGTAAATTTTTAACTTCCTACAAAATAGCAACTATCAAAACAAAACCACATTTAGTCAGCAACTAAAATAGTATGATCAGTATTTGAATATAACTAAAAAATACATTTTAGACAAATATGTATTTTTAAACATACTTTTGTACTTATACATTAGTATATATATACTAACTTAACTTATTAAGTAAGAAACGAAAGTATTATACTTTTTTATTACGAGTTACGATCATATGATTTTAGGAAATTCCATAATCGACATTTTCCATATTCGGATTTACTGGAAAAAAGACAGTCATAATTACACTTACAACAATGTATACAGAACCTTGTATTACATTTGAAAGGTCTTTAAAAAAAAGGTCTTTTTTTTTAGGTTTTTTTTTAGTACTTCGGCTATAATATGAAAAAAAAAATTAAAAATTTCAACCTAGTAAAATCTAGCGATTCACTAACAATTTTCTGTTACCACTTTCGAACCGACCGGGCAATGTGTCGAACGTCGGTGCTGAGCCATTTTCCATTTTCCAAAAAACCAAAATATAACAAATTTCAAAAACAACCTAGCAAAATCCAGCAATTCACTAGAAATTATTCGATACCACTTCCGAACCGACCGGGCATATTGCCGATGCTGTGTCAAGTTGACACCGGCATATTTGAATTTCGATTTACTCTTAAATGAGATAATAGCAAATTCTAAAAATTACCTAGCAAAATCTAGCGAATCCCTAGCAATTTTTTGATATTAGAATTATAGTTCTAGCATATAGTGCCGGTGCAAACTTGACAGACATCTTCAAATGCGTATAAAAAAAATCGAGCATACCCATGTGTTTTAGATTCTGATGAGTGATGACCAATAATTTACAATGATGTGTGTGTTTTTACATTTTTTTTTTTATTCAAGTGTGTAGTATTCAGACGAAATTGTATAGTCAAAACATTTTTTATCTGCGTTTTTCACATTTATCACATTTATTTCTTATACCTACATTTAAGTAGACTAAAATAAATAGAACCGATAAAGCTTGGGCTTACAATGTTAACACTTAAGAAAAATCAATCGATTCAATTACATTTAAATGTTGTATGTTTGCAGTATCTAATCCTAATATACCTGCGGGATAGGTACAATATGATATATTGTTTTCTTAGAAACGTTAGTTATAAACGGAATTTCTGTATACTCTAAAATAAATGCTAATTTAATTATACCGAGTCTATATTACTTTCGATTGTAGTTTTTCCAAATAGTTGACTTCGATGAGTTTCAGGTCACGCACCCAAAACCCATCTTTAAGGTACATGATTCGAGGTTTGATGACAAATGTGTCAAGTAAATTGATTGCGTCCGTGCAATAGTCTAGCAACATCCACTTCCATAGGTTCTCCGGCGTCTGATACGGGAATGTTATACGCAACGGTATTACCCAACAGTTATACAGGTAGCACATGGTCACTAGGCTTAACCAAGCCACGTAACAAAAGCCTAAACATAGAACAAGTCGGTATTAATACAAATTATTAAAACTGTTTGACGGTCAGTGTCCACTATATCCGTACTCTGAGGTTCGATGATGAAGTCCAGACTAGTGACCCAAGCCAAAAAGAACCACGAGCGTTTTTTCAATGACTTTTCGGGCTGCAGTTCTATTGGCATGTCGGATAATTGGAACCTCGAATGAGCGGACAACGGGTGTAAACTATCCGCATCTATTTTTAATTAACAATAAGTACCTATTATTATAGTATCTACGTAGTGTTAGGTAGGTAAGTATATTCGATCTTGAAGAGTTGAAAGTACATTATATGAAGTGAAAACTGTTTTTTACCTTTTTAAAAATACGATGATATTTCATGAAATTATCACTTTTTCATGAAAGACCAATTTCAATTTGATATCGTATATTTTTAGTGACAATGCAGTCATTCAATGCGTGTCAAATATAATATTTACTATATTTACTATTTACTATAAACAATTATTATTATTATATACTTATTTAAAAATATAATATACAAGAGAGTATTATATGTATTTAATTTATATTTATATGAGTATTATTATTTATTATGACATATTTTATACCTACCGGCTACCGCACAAAATTTTATACACAATATATTTATATTAACTTAAGTAGTATTTACTTAAAGATCATTTAAATTAACAGTACACTGTACTATATAATATTTAACTAATAAGTCAAAATATTTAATATACAATGTATATTATTCGTAGGTATAAAAAATGTAAATTTTAAAAGTAACTTGTTTAAAAGAGGGGAAAAAGAAGTTTAGTATAAGTATACAGTTATTTGTTTTGTTTTTCGTTTATTTAAGCAAGGCCATAACTGTTAACATTGGCTGTAACATTTCATACTAGATTAGTCATGCACTTTTGCATGCTTAGCCGCATAATAGGTATGTCTTCAAAATAATAGTAGGTACATACGGTACATAGATACCAACTTCGATTTTACAAGAACTTTTACAAGAACAACGTAGGAACTATTGGCCTGACGATACAACTTTATAACTTTTATATAGTTTCACGCAAATGGTTATCGAATATCGATTATTAAATAATTCAATAACACGCCTTGATTTCTGAAATGAGTGGTTTTTATTGATATCGATATAATATTGTATTATTTTAAGTGTAATCTATAGTCGCTGTGTGGACTATTATAAAGTCAATAAATTACATTCTATTCCACATTCACATATTTCAATAGGTACTCTGTACTCTATTCTGGAAATATGCAGCATGACGTTACAAATTGTATTCTAGCTGAACAATCGACAAAGAAAAATAATTAAATTTTCGAAACTGTTCTGAGTTGTAAGTTGTAACAACAAGTTAAGACCTACGTTGCTTATGTACAATGTAATGTCAATCTAAATGATGAGCTTGTCTTAGGTAAGTATATAATATAACATATACAGACCTTCTTCTAGTAAGTACTAGACAAGCAATGAGTCTACGGAAAGCGTAACAGCATAAATAGTGCTTTTTGTTTACTCGTTTGCTCGGTATAATGCGGGGTAGCAATAGATATATTTAGATTTGACAAAGATAGTCTACATCACCGAGAGATGTTGTTACGCAGCCCTCATGCTGTTGCTTTTCACAGTTTTTGTCTAGTAGAATGAGGTCTATGATAAAATGTAAGAGTCATTATCACGACTCAAATGATTTTAATACATAAACAATTAAAGCAAATGACTGTTGGATACTTGCATAAATATCTTGTTTTCCTTTTTTTAAACCAATTTTGTTTTGTGTATATTTAATGTGACTTAAATATTTATAAATATTACTGTTTATAACTTAACATAAGTGTCTTCATATAAGTACAACTTAAATGTATTTAATACTTGAAAAAAAATTTGTATGGAAATAGATATGGCATGAAAAATATAATATAATATTAATTTTACGTAAAAAGTGTTTTTTTCACAAATTAATTAATTTAAAATTCAATAAAACGAAGTGCTAATCAGACGTTTCTATTTCATGACTACTTTTACCCTAACTCGAATTGATCCCAAATCCTAAAGTCATTTTTGGACTAGTCTGGCATTTCTCATTGAGGATATCATTTTCAAACTTAAAATGTACGCCTTCTCGGACTATCAATAATTGCCACGCCGTATCCATGCTACATAAACTTACAGCTTTCAAACGACATATGTCGCACAGTGGTGGATTTAATAGAGAAAATATGGAAATTGACGAGTTTTGCCCTTAAACATGTAATAGGCCATTGAAATCAACCCCTCAGGCCTCAATATTGTTTCAACTAGATCAGAAGAAAAACCGAGTATGATTTGATCTAATAATTCCAGGAATTATGTTGTGATGTGTTGGTACATCAATAAATACTAACTAGTAACTACTACATCTCAAAAGCGCACTCATATATATATTTTTTTAATGTACCCATATATACTACCTAAATATCGTTTACGATTATAAATATGACAAATAATTCACAATAAGAATAGAAAGCAAGAGAAGCTTTTCAACCATGTCGTAATGTGTAAAATACTTTTTTCAAATAATTTTTATTGATCTTTGCCTATTGTTTTCTAAAAATTGCAATATGAATATTTCACTAAAAACAAAGATATCTAGGTACCTATAATAATTTCGATGTTGAATTTTATAGATAAATTCCTAACTATTACTTAATTAATTCGTAGTTAATTATTGTTGTAGAATTTAAGAAGGCACCTAATTTAATTCAAAATAAAATTTATTTTAAAAACAAAAATGTCACTCTGCCCCTGGGTAATTACTTTATTAGATATTTTCCTTAAATCCACCATTGATTCTATATGTAATCTGTAACATGCACTAATAATATGGATACACATAAATCTAGTAAAAATATACCATCAAACGTTGACTCAAATCAACATCAGGTAGCCGGTTGGCACATGTTTTTCATTTCATTAATTGTATTCATGTATTAATATTATATACGTAACATATAACTAAAATAATAATATAAAATATTCATAACCATGAATATGTCGGCATAATGGACCACTCACAATACTACGGTCGAGGCCGAGATATTTATTCAGGCATGGCCCACCCTTGGTGCCAACACTGTAATAGTCATTGCTGTAGGCTTATAACTACTGTTTTAGAGTACCTATTTTATACGTACCGGTGAAACTCATACTCGACGAAGATGGCAAAACATAGTTCTCACACTTGTTTCGTTCTTTGGAGCATTGTTCATTTAATTTGTCCATCAATTTAGTAGCATTCAAGCTGCAATATGAAATGAATAAATATAGATAGTTTATTATTTGGTAGCAATATAACTCACTGTGTTTACCCGACGATCATTTTTTTTTTTATATTTGAATCAAACAGTTAAATTTATTGAATTTTAAGTATTTTTTATACATAATAATAATTACTATTACCTATAATTTATTATAAACAATACATTTTTTAAATCTGAGGTCTACCTCATACAATAATTATTGGAGATAATTTATGAGGATATTTTGAAAACTGAATTATTAGCGCGTGTGCATATGTGGGAGCTTTCCGTCGTTCCTTTTAAACAAATTCACAAATACTTAGAAAATTGCCTATATTTAACTCCTAAAAAACGGCCGGTAATGGATTCCCTAAGTTTTTAAAAAGTATTATATGCTGTACCTACATGATTAATAAACAATATTTTTAGAAAATAAAATATTCATTATGTAAGGCCTGTGACATTAATTAGATTAAAGATACACACCTAAGTATACCAGTCAAGTATTAACCATTAGCATTCATAAGCACAAACAGTTAATATAATAATATAATTCATAATATTATTAAATGAATAAGAAAAATCAAAGTTATTACATAGGTTGTAATAATAATAATAACTAGGAAAAACTAGTTGAAATATTTAATACTTGAATATTTATATTATGTATATATTGTATACTTATGTACCCATATACTCGTTTATTTCCTTATATCACGTAAATATTAAAATTGTTCATGTGCAAATATTAATGTTGTTATCGATTGAATAAATACATATTAATATTGTCTTATTAAATCTTACTATTTTAGTAAAAAATTGTTTTCAAATTGTTTTATAAATATAATACATATTACATGATTGCAGTAGCGCCAAGTCACTTCTTGGCACTTCTTTTTATGGGTGGTTGGGTAGGTTGCACTTATGGAGTATACTGTTTACCTACTCTATATTTGGGGTTGAGTATCGTTATTGTACTTATTATTAAGGACTTCATTTAGAAATTTGTGGTTACTTTAGATTCAAGACTGATGTTTTTCAGTCTCACTTTAATTCGGGTGTGATTATAGAAGTATGTCATGTCACACATTTTTTTTTTTTTTTGGTTTGAAGTTACTGAATTAAATTACCTATGTAACATTATATACAGACATACATTTGCATAGGTGTGTGTATAACTGGTTACAACATAGGTTACCATATTATATCTAAACATATCTTAGGACACATTACCTAGTTTATACTAGCGAAATGATTCTAATATTAGGATATATATCTATGCGTTTCACGATAAAACTATTTAGAATATAATTAATAATTATAAATATGAATGTATATTTAAATATTAAGCTATATTTATTAATTTGACTAAAGTTTTGGATGCGTATTAGTAATAAGTATAGGTATGTGCGTTTCAGTCTATATCTAAGAAGGTCACATTTGAAAATATAAAAAACTATCTGAAACCTTAAATTTTCAAATTTTCTTTAAACCATAGATAGGTAAGTACATGTACACAAAAACTGGTCGACTTATTTGACATCAATCTAAAATAAAGCACACAAATTTGAAGGAAACGATTAACGATTGTTCATATATATATATATGCTTCATGGATGAACATATACATTTGAAATATATTTTTTTTGGTACCAATTTATAGTGAATTAATAATTATTATACCTTGTAGATCGTTCAATTGGAGAAACCGGAGTGGTAAATGTGGAATACAATTCACCAGATCCTGAAGAACTTTCATTTGTAATTGGCATATTATCAGACAGCCATGGTTCATCAGTTGTGTTATAGTAATCATATTGTGGTGGTATTCTATCCATCTATAAATCATAAATAAATATTTAAATAACAGTGCAAACAAAAGTAACTTATTAATAATAACAACAATTATAATTATAATTATTAGACGGTACCTATACATAGCGTGTTATAAATTTTTTTTAAATGTACTCTTTTTTATTTGTTTAAAACTTTAGAGTTAAAATTATTTTAATTTTATAAATACAATGAACATAAGATTAAGAAATCATATAATATCATGTATTATATTATTATTATATAATAGTTTACTATCATAAATTATTATTATCAATATTATTGATAAACTGAATTATTAACGGACTATAAGCTAATATAATATAAAGTGGCTATAGCGATTTTATGTTTAAAAGTTGTTGGAAAATAGTAGATAGATAATAAAACTAAATAACATATACCTCTACGGCTGTACCAAGTACTAACTGAAAGTTATAAATATATTCCCAGGAATGATTTTATTACTTATAAAAAGCGAAATAGATAGCTCATAATATAAATCTATAAAATTATTAATGTTTATAATATTCCCAAAAAACTTCAAGTTACTGAATTAAAATAAGTCTTTGAAGAAATGAACCATTTTAAACTATATTTAATATGTCTACTGTATACGTTGCAATATTATATAATATTTTTTAACATTTGTTAATTTTCACACTATTTTTGAATACATTTAAATTTTAAGTTCTCATGAAGGCTCAGTCTATTTTGTGTAACCTATTCTAAGTAGGTGGGTACATATTATATATTATATATATTATTAATTTTGAAAATATTTAATGGACATTTTTTTGTTTAACATTTAAATTAATGAACAAGTAACTTAATCTTATCAATAATTATTTTCTTTCGAATTATTAGCTATCAATAGTCATAATAAAATAAAATAATAATTTTATTTTGAATGTTAGGTATATGAATATATGATTATATTATGTCGGCCTCCAACGACTACCCATTATGTAATACAAACAGCTAGAATATCCATATTTTTAATTAAATGATTCAACGACATTGTTATTGAAAAAACCTTAAGAATCTCCAGAAGGCCAGTCGAAATTAATTAATCTTTCTATATACGTACGTTGTAAATATTTGTTTTAAATATTTATAGGTAGATTCTTATAGGTGCTTAGGTACAATAGTTCACACCTAGGACAGTTGAAATGTCGAATGCGTCTTAAACTTCGAGAGTATACGTCATTATAATTTATTATCAGTGTAAAAAATCATAAAAAAATATTTGCTCATGATGTATGTGTAATGGGTTCATTAAAATATTTAATAAATAAATATCTATATTGAATATAAGCTACTTATCTAAATATATTGCTATGTGGTCGTGCAAATTAGATATTTAGAAAAAGTAATAATAAAAAAAAACCAGGACATTTCTTACTTAAGTAGCTGTGCGTCAGTTTCTGTTTTTGAGGATATTTTGAAATTAATTTATAATTAGATAATATTAGTAACTTATTTTTCTATAGATATCAATCAGACATAGAAGACGACAAATTCAAATATTTTTTTCAGAATTTTATCGCTTCAACTACATCAATAGGTACGTTTTGAGATAGAACACATTTAAATTCCTATGTGGCGTAAGTTAGATAAATACTAAATAGACAAAATTATGCATTATTTGCTTGTATTATATAATATATTTATATTCAAGCTATTGGGCAGTACATGTATACAATTTTTTTATAAATATTTATAAAAAAAATAAAAAGTTAGTACATTGTAAATAAAGATACTATTTTAATGAGTAAAATCATTTTAATAACTGAGAAACTTTTAAATACTCATTTGTATTTTGAACTAGGTACATAACAATTTTCAAGAAAATTGTAAACTAAACAATTTACTGTAAAGTATGAGGAGGAGGTTCTCATTGCAATAAAATAAATTTGTAGCGGTAGGCCACAAGACACTCCTTATAAGTATATACCTAGTACACAAAATTCATGAATTTAAATAATGGTCTTTGAAAGGATATTTAAAAATTCCATGTATTATTAAATGAAAATGGGGGCAAGCATGCTTGGAATCGCCTTGTAGAAAATGATAATTAAAGTAACAATGGAGTGATTACTATATAATTTTTATATTTTGAATAATCATATAACCATATAAATCATTTGCGGATAAATAATATTGTTTTTACACATTTGATATTCTTAAATGTCATCTAAATTTGACCCTCAGCGATCACAAAAAATGTATGTGGCTTAAGCTAAGCTTTTTTTAAATTTCAGTAAAATAAAACTTGGGAATAAAACTTGAGAATTCTTGTACTACATTTTCAATGTTTTTAATAAACAAACAAAAATTGTAGGAATCTTAAACGATAAAATTGTGTAAAATTGTATTCATTTATATTATATTTGTATATTTACAAAGGACAACACTAAAAATACATTGTAATAATAATAATATATAATAATAATAATAATATAGGCGCCTTTAATATATATTGTTTATTATTGAGCTAAGGCTTTAACATCTATGGTCATTAGCTTGAAGGTTATTTAGTAGGTTTTTAACTGTGGTGGAGGGTATACTGTCGGTTATGACATATATATTTTATATATATGCGGCGAGAAGTTGTCACTAAAACCCGGGTGGACACCCATCCGAGAACTAGTGACACCGGATGATGCTTGGCCTCAGAAGACGTTTTGTGACTGAGGTCAATCTCCTCGCCAAACCAGGTCACTCCTATAATATTATATTGCTTAGTAAATGCGATGTCTATGAGAGATCATTATTTAAATAATAAGCAACTAAATAAAATAATAAATTATTATAAATAAACGTTGAAACTTCTTCATGATTATGTAACATATTATTGATAATTATTATTTATTAATATCTAATTAATAACTTTTATAAACCTATACTTTTTGTATTCATATACACCGCTGCTCCTCGATGTAATATATAGATAGCAATCTGATATGTTTTGTTACTAAAGCTATTTGATATCATAGGTATTACGATATGGCGTCACTTTTGAGTTTGAAAATGGTAATTTCTACTTAATGCACACAGAGTAAATAAATCGCCGAAAAACCAGTAAAGAAGTTGAACATTTAAAATATGTCTATAATAAGTACAAAAGGAACCAAAATATTTTGAAAATTATAGCGTTTCTATGTGATATACATACTATAGGTATTTAAAGTATTCGGTGAAAATGTAAAATATGTACCGTTATTCATTTTTGAACTACAACAAAAAAAAAAAACTTATTTTGTGTAAGCCTAGTTTTACGTAGATATTTCCGTTTTTCCGTATTTTGTTTTTTCGATTTATTTCGGAAATCCCTAAGAATTCCTAAGAACTGTTGTCATTCAACAACGTGTAACTGTGCTTAAAATAAAAAAAAAAATTATTAATGCTAGAGACATCGTACGTAATTAACAAGTTTTTAAAAGCTTACAGAAAGTTTAAAATAGTTACACAATTATATATATTTATATGTCTGTACTCTATGTTATATGAGATTTACTCGTATATGTCTATACATATTACGTAATGTGGTTATGAAAAAACATTTGAATTTATTGAATGTGTGGTGTTAACACAATAATACGTAGGTACATCTATTTTATAACACAAATTCATTATCAGTTTTTTTAAATTCTCAAGGTACCTAAGTAGCAATGTTACCATAGTGTTGGTGCGACGAAGACTTCGAATTCGCCTCGAGAAAATTCTATAGCGTCAAATTTTCTAATTTCTTTTATAGGCATTATATTTTATTAATTTATAATGTTTTCGGCGTGCGGCAATAATTATTGTGTTATTTTTAATAGAAACAAAAAAATAATTGTTTACGTAACTATACCTATCGCACAAGGAACGGAACTGCCTACCGTCGTATTTGCTCCAAGGAATCGCACGTATAATGTATAAATGTATATAAAACGTGTAGGACCTTAAGTGATGAAAGCGACATTGCGGGACAAAAGAAAGTTTTTTTTTTCGTCTGTTATTGTTTGCGGTCGTACGTCGTGTATTTAATTTGCTCGGAGAACACCGTCTGGTCCGCAGCGTGGTTTTAACAATGTGAAATATTAGCCGACCATAATAGACGATAGGGTTATGCAAAGGTAGCCGGGACACCCGTAGTGTCGCAGACCCGAGTCAATAGGATTTAATGAAAAGATGATCACGGACAACTCCGTACTGCAGGGCTCAGTTGCCACCGATCAGAAGACAACGGCAACACAAACGATCACACTGCGTAACCTACTTACGGGACGCCACTACTGGATTACAGTGCATATTATCGAAAAATAATGTATATTTTTCAATAATTATTGTCATCTGACTGGTTGGGTTTTTTCAATTATGCATACAGCTGCACAGACACAATCGCTTCTTGGATGGGTACCTACCTATTTCACAAATTCATCAAGAATTCCTATATCATATTTTACGTACACCAAACATAGTATAGTAGGTAGGTAGGTAGGTAGGTAGATAGGTAGGTAGGTAGGTACTTATATCTAAATTAAATTATTACAATTAGAATTATTAATAAATATATACATTATTAGATAGGTAATACATAGTATTAAATGTCAGTACCTGAGCTGCACATACACAGTTATATATACATGTATAATAATATCGGTTTCTTTAAGCGCGAGGTTGTAGTAGAGAAGAGTTATCTTTCAAATTACATAATACGAAAAAATTAAACATTTTTTTTATTTAATATACCTACAGGTACTTACAGTACACATACATTTAATAGATAAAGAACAGACAAAAATAGAAAAATAATTGACTTGTTTATTCAAACATTGCAAAATGATAACACAGAATGAAAACTTTTATTAAGATTTAATAAATTAAATAAATAATTTAACATATTGAGCCACTTAGAAACTATTTTTTTCCATTTATTCAACCGCAATGAATTATTTTCTTATACATAGCTTGCATTCGGTTGAGTACTTTGGAAAATTGAGCCTAAATTATCTGTAATAGAATTCTCTACTTATCATTTTTAATATATTAGAATATTTCACAGCATTTAAGTGAACCATACGCTCTATGTTCTATAAACTGTCAAAAATGTACGAATTTTTCGATTATGAATAATAACAACAATATTGCAATTCGTTCATAGCCACTATAGGTACATACAAGCTACAAGGCGCTCAGTGACAATGTCATTTTCTCCACAAAAATACACTTTACGAGAATAATGATTGTATAAAATCATAATTTTTTTTTTAACTAATAAAGGGTAATATTTTACAGGTCACATTTAACTTCTCAAACTTTATATTATGCCTTTGAAAATAAGACGGTTTTAAGCTTTTTTTACAAATTATTTTATAAAATAAAAAATCAGAGTTCAATGTGACCTTTTAGGAAGTCTTCTTCTTTCAAATAAAAAAAAAAGTAATTTTTTTGGACATGACATAGTGCACCATATCAACCGTTTGTCTTTCATAAATAATATATATCGGGCAGTAGGTTAGTGGAAAAGTATTATACTATTTATAGCTAAAACATAAAATATAATTTTCAAATTTTATAGAATTGCGGAAAATTAAAAAAACCAGCCCCTGGCCCTAAACTGCCTACACGGCTACACTACAACAGTATACTATTCAATATTTATTATTATTTTCTCAAAATTAAAACCTATAAAATATATTATAACATTAAACATGCATATTATTCACTCTTGTTACTCGATATTCAAACGATTTGGAAACGCTTTAATAATTTCTGTTTGCTTATTTCTCTACCTACATTTAGCAATAACAGTTAACAGATAACACTGTTGCAAATTTATTAGGTAAAATATTTCATAATCTCATTAATTAAATCATATTATCGAATATCGTTTATCTGTAGTCCTAATTAGTCTAATAACCGTTTCCAAACTTTTTGAACACTCAGTATAAAATACTTGTACACACGTTTCAACGTTAGCTTAGTATACTGTACATTGCACCTGCAAGAGAGAAAATTGGAAATTATTGAATTGAAACTACCAAACAACTAATCAAGGCAGAATATTTAAAATGTTTATTTATTTATTTTAAAACCAGCTTTGAGCTCGTATAGCACGGCTAACACAATTTAAGCAGCTGTATCACATAGATGAGTACCACTGTTGTACCTACGTCATAATTATACAATTTTCCTAGTATAGGCACTAGCGGTAGATGCCAGTATAGCCGTAGTTGCAAATTATAAAATCAATTAATAATAATTCGCATTTAGTATTTTAGTAAAACATTTTAATTTTGTTGAAGAATGTCAACTGTGATGCAAATCCCATGAGGGTCGCTTTCCCCATACAAAAAAATAAATATTTGACAGTAAGAATGTGGATCCTAGTGGATGGCGTTACATACTTATATAATTTTATTGTAAATTTAATATTATACGATAAATTCATAAAGCAGAATTAAAAGAAATGTTTGGAATTATAGATGGTTAATGACGGTGGGTGGTTGCCAGCAGGTAAATTTCAAGGTTGGTAAAAAAAAATTATTTGCACCATTATAACAAACATGCAACGGACATTTTCAGTGGGTTACATTATCTTCTCGAAGAATTAATACAAATTAGATTGAAATAAACAGTTATAATTGTACTAAATTACTACTCTAGTACCTATTTTAAATGATTATAATCTCATTCGATAGTGTTCATTGTGATAAAAAAAATAATCAAATTCAATGAATATAAAAGTATATTATATTTTTAAAGTTTATGAAGCGAGCAGTTAATATTAATTTACACAGTACCTACATTATTTTGATGAATCACAGTTTGATAAAATAATTATTATGTATAGATGGTAGGTTACTAGTTACTTCTAAGGATAGAGGTGCATACCTATTTAATAAATCATAAATGTTTTCGACCAAAATCGTACCCTTCAATTTTCAGCAAAACCAAAAAGTTTAGTATTTACTTTATGTTATGCATGCACAGAAAACTATTAAAAATACAAGTTGTCAAAAAAATTGTTTATTTATTAATTAGTAGATGATAGTTATAATAATATTCACTATAATATACTAGTAGGTTAACTGATACAGTCAAACTCAGCGACCACCGATAAAATTATGTAACAAAAACAATTGTATAGGTATGCATTTATATTTTTGTATTATATAATTGTTATACAATTTTTATTTTTATTATTTTCGATGGACATAACATAAAAAAAATATTATACTTTATTTTTTAACTGCAGTTTACTACCTACTTATAAATAATGATCTTAAACTACATGGCTACCTATAGTAGCTATAAGTCAACTAAAAACAGTTTCTTATCTACTATAGTTGGTATTTAAATGTTTGGTACTGTCGTATATTTTAAACGACAATATATTGATAATGGCTGTCGAAATTATCTTAAATAGGTTAGCTAGGTACCAAACAAATAGCCAAAATCACATTTTAAACGCCTGTTCAACCACGATAATCTTGAATAATTTCTTAGATAACGATTCTTAACTAATTTATCTGTGCACAGAAAGCTGGCGAAACGTATTCAAACCTGCATAAGTTCAGAAAACGGAAACTTTTTTCTTTTATTAAAACTACTAACGGCGCATAAAACACGAATAATATTACATGTTTCACGTAGGTACAAGTCAGGTATCGTGTTACCTATATAATATTATCGTCGTCGACAAATCGTGTGGCACGTGACACAATATACTCTACAGCACATTTTTATTATCACTGCACCTGCTATAAAATATCGTACTGTCCACGGCACAGGGTACGTCCGATTACAAGGAGGCTGCACGATGCCTATGTACAAATCTGTGCCCCGACACTACGACTACCTACTAAAAAAATTATATAATTTTTACTCACTATTCGATGGGCCGTCGGTGATATTCAAAAACGATAACAATATTATTATTGCGTTGCAAATAACACGACGAATGCGTGATATCGTGTTGTAATGTGGCAGGGATGAACTAGCGCGCACAGAGCGTGCCGGCGGAAAGATGGGAAAAGCGCGAGAGGAAGTGTTCTCCCGGCCGAATCAATAAATTGGGCCCACATTTACGTCGTTCGTTCTATACATGCGTAGCGAACGGTAAACAAACAGGGCAGAAAAATAAATCAGTTTTTTACCGAACTGTAATAACGATGTAGGTAGGTACATATTGCAGTATATTATTACAAGATATGCGATCTTGCGTTGGGTATGACATGCAGCAAATTATCAGATACCTGCATGGTGGTTTTGACGTTTTCGGGTCGTACAGTCGATGCCGTTTTCGGGCAGATTAATTATTTGCCGTAGACAAGAATATTAAAATATAGAGAGGGTTAATAAAATATTATTCTTTATCGAATAAAACGTTTACTCGGACGCGTATAAATGTGTATGACGTTACCGCGAGTCAAACAATATCGTAATATGTGCATCGTCGATTGTTCTATTTGTTTAGATATTTTAATCATTTGAACAACCCGGACGGAGCGCACTATGGTGGCAGGGCATTGCAAGCCTCTCGTCTCGCATCGGCGCATAGTCTACTCGTACTCTAGTGTTATTATCATCAATAAACGTTTTAATCATATTTGAAAAACCCTCGGAGCTATAACATTGTGTTGTTCACTTTGTTATAAAGTCTGTACCTATAGACATTTATACTTACAAAAATAATCGAGTAAAAAAAAAAAACTTTAAATATTCCTCTGTACCTACATTTATGGAATTTTTTTAATTATTTTATTATGCTTAAGTGGGGGAGTAAAATAAACAATTTTGGATTATGCAACTGATAAACTTTCCAATTTTTTTTCAAACATTTACATAAACTATGATGAACCGATTATTGAAAAATACTGTGTTTTGAAATAATTGTAAAATAGCATTTTTATTAAATATCAATGTCAATTTTTTTCATTAGATATCGGTAAAATTATTCGTTTCCTCATTCCACTCAGATTATAAAAAACATTATTACCTACATTCGGCTATGGCGCTATACCTATGGAGTATATAATATAATATATTAGGACATTATGTGTTATGTGTAATGCAATACCTATTCGTTATTCTATTGAATCATCAATTCCAATTTATTCTTTTATTCTTTTTTGAATGTCAATAATTATTGTTTAGTCATTAAGGTTTAATTTATTAGAATGTAATTTTATTACTAAAATATAACTCTCTACTATTTATCAAAAAAAAAAAAAAATATTGAAATAGATACATAATGGTAAAATCCACATTTACAATAAAGTATATCTTTATTTTATCTGCCGATAATTAAATTTTTTAATTTTAACTTAGTTTTAAATATGAATTAGTACCCACGAATTTCTATACTTATATTATTCATCAAATGAAACTTGTTGGATACCAAATTTGTCATTTATGAGCTACATTTATTTTGTCAAAGATAAATACCTAATTTTAATATCGTTCTTGATTCCATATATTTTAGGAATATTATCATAAAAGACTAGGTACTTACTGATCATTATTGTTTTAGTTAGAATCATACACCTACCAGGCTACTTGACATCGAAGTATAAATTCTTTTAAATTAATTAAATGTTTTAGGTATAGTTGAAACAAAAATGTAGGATCAATTAATATTGATGAACGAATTCGCTTGACAGAATTGAATAATTTTTCGTTTTAGTATGATGGATTAGTTAAATACAATTTACACTTATACTTCAACTGCAATCAATTACTTTTAATACTTATTCTACTCTAGTATAATTAATTAATTAAATAGAAGTAAATTCTGTATTCAAATTGTTACCTATTTATAGAACGTGTGGCATGCATGATGTTAATATTGGTATACATTTTATACGCAACTTTTAGGAATCAATAACTATTCTGATAATTAAACGTCAGCTTATAATGGATGGTGTTTAAATTTAAATTGTTTGTAATTAAATAAAAACATCTCAATGGTCAAATGGTTGATGATTCCTATACTAAGCAATCCATATTCTCGACTTAGGTCGCAAGATAATAAAGACATATTATCGTTTTAATAATTTACACGAAAAAATTGGCATTATTTTAAAAACTAGGTACTTTACAAACTTAAAATAGAGCTTGAGCCGATGAAATAAATATCGTATGAAATAATACATTATAGCGTTGAGTACAATTTATCGATTAACTTCTAAAGCACTTATAATAATTGAAAATAAATTATCCCTAAATAAAACAAAGTAATACTCAACCATGAATCTAAAATGTATTTATTAACTCACAATTAGTAATACACTCGAACGTTTTAGATTTTAAATGGCTGGTACATTTTATAGTTATTAAGAACAACTACTATAATTGTATAAGTATTAAGAAGAATTTTAATGGAAAATATCTATTGTCAGGTATGACTTTTAAATATTTTCATACAGGTAGGTATTTATTATTTTGTAGTAAAAATAGTTATCATTTAAGATGGTTAATAATCTATTATATATCTATTACATAGTATTTTTTTTTGTATTTTGTTATATTATATTGAAGTTAATTTATCAATTACTATTATTTATTATATTCTTAATGAAAAGTAAAATATTTTAATTTTCAGAAATTGCATTTGAAAAACAAATACATTTCTTAAGCTCGTCTAATTTTATAATTCAGTGTTAATAAATAGTATAACTTTTTAGTATTTAATAAAACTATCATCATTTTACAGAAATAACAATTAAATGGTGGAATTCCTTAAGTATTTAGAGCTAATGACAGAAAGTCTATTTTCTAAGTAAATACATTTTTTTAAATATTTGAATAACACTTATTAGTATTACAATTATGAGCTCTAATGAAAGTTACCCGAACAAAGACAAATTACAATTTGTCAGTTATTTGTTTTTAATTATCTATGTGTTAATAATAACAACAAATTCGGTAAAATAGACTCGGAGTTATATTGAATATTATTAAGTATGAGTAGGGTATCCCCGTTTTGTGCAGATGTAGGTAGGTAATGGACTCGGGGTATATAAACTACTGAACCTGCCAACAGAGGCACATTCTACAATCTATCATGGCTCTCCACACATCATTGGTATGTACTATTCTTTGATACTATCGTATATTTATAACCAAAATATTTTTTAATTAATTTTTTAACACTTACATTTATAACATTCAACTTTTAATACCAATGGATTTATAAACATTCTCTTAGAATTTTTGAAAATAAAAACTAATCACAAAAAATTCAAAAAATCTAATTTCTGTTTTTATTAAAACATAACTTAAAATTATTCTTATACTCGTAAAAGTTGTGACTATTTTAGAACGAGTAATCCATTTTTATTGTAATGGGTACAACATACAGTATTAGGCATAGGTAAATATATTAGGTATTTATAAATAAATATAATATTATTTTATTTAATATTTCATTGTTACTAATTTCCTATAGTATATAAGAAAATGTCTTTGCTGTAGAAGTATTTTAAAAGTATTTTTCTGTACATTCATTGACTATATAATAATATTTTATGCACTCAGATTTTTAAACTTAATATTTAACTAACAAAATAACGCAGTTTCAAAGCGATATAAATTATCATCACTTCGGATAATCATATAGACATATAGTTATTATAAGTTAGGTTTTTGTGTCCATTCTACAACTAGGAATATAATATAGTATGATATATGACTTGCAGAGAAAAACTTACTTGTATAAAACTGAAATAAATTACCTATGTATATGATTTTTATTTTGTATTTTTGTAGGTGCTCGTTTCCGCTGCTTGCCTTATAAGCTGTTCTGTAACGGGTACAGAACTATCCAAACCCACAGAACTGAAATTGGAGACGAAATCTGAAAATACTGATGAAGTCACTGCCAAAAGAGTGGTTTTCGGTGCGTTACACCCGATCAACCACGGTGCCGGTGGTGCTGTCTCCAGTGGTGGCAGCGGTTACGGTTCCGGTTCCGGTTCTGGCCATGGCGCAGGTGGCGTAGGAATAGGCGTTGGCTTCGGTTCGGGTGGTGGAGGAGGTGCAGGAGGAGGAGGCGGTGGAGGAGCCGGAGGAGGTTATGGCATCGGTGGCGAAGCAGCCAACAGTAACTACGGAGCTGGTGTCGGTTATGGGCAAGGAAGCGGATCCGGCGGTGCTGGTTATGGACAAGGAAGTGGTTCTGGTGGTTCCGGTTATGGACAGGGAAGTGGTACTGGTGGTTCTGGTTATGGACAGGGCATTGGCACTGGTGGATCTGGTTATGGACAAGGAAGCGGTTCTGTCGGTTCCGGTTATGGCCAGGGAATTGGCATTGGTGGTTCCGGTTATGGGCAGGGAAGTGGTTCTGGTGGTTCCGGTTATGGCCAAGGAAGTGGTACTGGTGGTTCTGGTTTTGGACAAGGAAGTGGATCTGGTGGTTCCGGATATGGACATGGAAGCGGTATTGGTGGTTCTGGCTACGGACAGGGAAGTGGTTCCGGTGGTTTCGGACATGGAGGTGGTTATGGTTCAGGAAGTGGTTCTGGCAGTAACACCGCTGGATACGGTGTCGGATCCGGAGGAAGCTATGCCAACGGTTTCGGAGCTGGTCAAGGTAGTGGCTTTGGCAGTGGATCTGGTCAAGGAGGTGGTTACGGAGGTGGATCCGGTCAAGGAGGCGGCTTTGGTGGTGGTGTCGGTCACGGACACGGACACGGTGGTGGTTTCGGACACGGCGCAGGTTTTGGCCATGGCGGTGGATTCGGTCATGGTGCTGGATTTGGTCATGGCGGTGGTTATGGTGTCGGCGTTGGATTCGGCGGTGGTCATGGTGGACATAGTATCTTTGGCCTACACCACAAGCCTCAACTCATTGGAGCCCTCGCACATGGTGGCGGCGGTCAATTCGGCGGAGGTCTCGGATTCGGCGGCGGTGCCGGCGGCGGCGCAGCAGCTACATATGGCTAACCGAAAGAACCCAACGCATTATTCCAATTCAAAACAATCATATTTATCGTTTCCGTTTAATATATATAATTATTTATTCGTATATAACTTATTTGTGCACGTCCGTTGACTAAATCACACAACAAAATTTCGTTAAAGTATTTTATTGTATTTATTTATTATTCTATTATAATATTCTATTATCTGTATTTAAATATGTATATTTTTATTTATGCTTTTAACATTAAAATGTTGTTTCCGATGAATTCATGTGTAGTATTACTATTACAGACTACAGACATCATATGAAATAAATCCATTCAAATATCGATATATATTATTTTTTAATTATTTCTGATATCATATAGCAGGTATCAACTGAAATATAAACAAACTAAATAAAACTACCACTATTGTAATAAGTTATTATTCAATTATTTAATAAATAAACTAGTATAGAAATATATAAATGTAAATAACTCACAAGCTAATGGCCTATGCTGCCGAAGCTTTAATGATCAATAAAAAAAAAACTAGTATAGTTCGTATACGCAATATATATTTAAAAAATGTTTAAATTTTTTTTTTCATCGACATGAATATTTTATAACTATGTACCTAAGTAGGTACATTTGAACTCTGGTATTCTTAATAAAATCACAAACATATTTTGTAGTTCAGTGCTTAGTAAAAAACCTAAGTTTCTGTTACTGTTCATTTTCAGTTCTAAAAATTATAAAATAAGAACTTAGTTATAATTTCGAAAAAAAATACGTAATATGAATTAAAAATGTAAATTCCAATATAACTTTATAATTAATGTCCTTTTTAAAGGGTATACCTATAAAAACCGGGTAAGTGTGTGGCGCTCTGCTGTATAGTAGATTACTGGTGGGTCACTGTAATGAATGGTGTTAAATTTGAATTCAATGATATAATAATCAAATCTTAGATTAAAAATAAATAGTGTTATGAATTTCTAACTCAAAATAATTTGCAAGGTTACTGTATGTTGTCAAAATTTGAAATTTAGACACTCGTGAAAAATAACTGTGGATTTGAATAATTGTAAATAATTTTTTCAATTCCCACAAACAACAACTTACCAAGAGCCTTGTATTACATTTTCAAGTTTTTGACGGAGCGAAAATTGTTTGTCAAAATTAGTTTTAGAAAAAAACTAATAATGGGTCGAAAATTCAAAGCATATAAGTAGCTTAACATAGGTCAAAATATTTTGAAAATGCCATAGTGTATAGAAAATGCTCCATTGAGAATCTAAGACGATTAAATTGTTAATCAAATGTATTGTTGCTGTCGGCTGGAAAATGAAGTTGTTTTATACGATATTTTACAAAAAATGTGTAATAGCTTTATTAAATTTTATACAAATTCAATCAAAATTTAATTTGATGATTTTTTTCTTTGGACAAATAAGACTTTTATTCAAATTTTAAAAAAATATACAGAAACTCGCTTATCTGGTATAGCAGATAATACTTAATAGGTAGGTTTTGAGTAGAATATCGTTAATATAAAATATAATAGGTACGTACATACAGTAGGTAGTTGACTGTAATGGATATTATCTTAAATATTTAAATTTGAAATCAATCATAAATCATTGAAGTGACATTACCTATACGAGAAATGATCTGAGCTAAAAGTAAAGGGGTAAACCAGTATCTATTTCTAATTTTAAGTATAATATAATAATTATACTTTAAGTTTATAAATATTAGTCAATTTGTGATACGATATAGCTTGTATATAGTCTTTTAACCATTTGTTCCATAGGTACTTACAACTTACTTATAAGTTATAAGACAATACTGAAGTATTATAGAAGTATAAGATAGTGTGAGCTTAATTGTTTTGAAAATATTAATATACCTTCTTAACCTATTGGGGAAAAGTTTCAAGTCTACCTTATAAATTATTTTTGAATAACAACAAACATTTATATTTTTTGTTCAATTATTCAATTTTGTCAAAATTTGAATTTCAAACGCTTATAAACATAAAATGAAAGTACTGTTTTCGAAAAATGTAATTATTGTGAGAACCATTTATAAAGAACATTGTACTGTGAAATGTCGGTATCTCGAACTAATTAGGCTCAATTTTTTTTTTTTTGGTCCCTTGAGCCTTCGAGAATTCGATATACGACGTTCCACTGAATTAAATTGTAAATTATTTCACTGCAAAAAAAAGAATTCATTTTTTAAGTATTTAGGATTATTTTACTAAAAATAACTATGATATTAATATTATGTTGGATATTTTTAAATATTTAAAGAAATGTGGTTGAACAAAAATAAAAATAATACAACGTTGTCATGGCATATACCATACGGATACGGCCATAACAATATATACATTATTAAATATTTTAAAAATTATTTTAAATAAATATAGTGCCATAATGCTGAACACTTTTTCGTACTTGACACAAAAAAAAACACAAATTACATATATCCACCATCTATAGGGTATCGATCTATGATCTATCTGCAAGTCAATCAAAAATGTTTACAATTTATAATTTATATTTAAATCAAACATATTTCAAAATCCAAAAGATTAGATCACGTTAAAAGAAATGAAAAAAATTTTTAAATGATTTCAAATTTTCGAAAATAAAATTCATTAAAATGTAAGTTCCTTTTACTATACATTAGTTACCAATACATTTCTGGATTTCCAACCTTAATTCTCAATGTATCGACTATTTTAATTCAATTAAAATCGAAAAAAAAATACATACTTTTTTGTGTTTAAAATGTATTGTATTTTAGATGTATAATTTTGAAAATAATGGGAAAATTTCGTCATGCAAAAACTAATGAATACCTTCCTAATTAGAAAATTCAGTTTTAAATACATATAACATTGAACAGTGAACGCTCATAATTCAGCGATATGTCATCATTTTTGTGAATTGAACTTTATTTCAATAGCTATTAATGGTATTATATAATTTTTTTTAAGAATAGAGGTCTGATGTGTTTACCTTTTATAGATAATAATTATATAATATAATTTGTTAGTGCTAATTGCTCACTATGAACTATGAAGTTAACTATTCATTGATGCCAGGGCCATACAGAGGAGTTTGATTATTTTGCTCCAGGCTTAAGGCTCAATTCATACAACTATATGAGCCTCAAGATTCATAAATCTAAAACAATCTATTTTTTTGTGCCATAACGCCTTTATTGTATTTTTATACTTAATATAGGTATAATATGTTTTTTTACTTTATAAGTACCTATAACGGCTGACTACATAGTGCGGTCTATACTTGGTATTAGGCAAACCAAATAGGTATTAGGTACCCTGGATATTTCTTTTTATAAATACTTCAAACTTATATTTCAGTTATTAAGGTTATTTTCTAACAATTTATTTACAAACATTTTTTTTGTATATAGAACTGTGTACGATTTTCTCACTTTTTCGACAATAATTACGTACCTATTTTTATGTGACATATTATCACAAACAAGACATACATCACACAGTCAATGCGATGTCCACTAGTCGTCTAGTATCTATTAAAGTATAAGCATTAGATAGGTACATACTACATTTCCAACGAATAATGACAGAATTTATTTATCACACAAAAACGATCCACCTCCATTATTCGATGCAGTGTAACTGATTGTAACGCTTTCAGCAGTCCATGCGGTATTAAGAGGCCGCTAGACCCTCCAAAAATATAAGCTAAAACCCTTTCATCGGAAACTGTGTACCTAACTTATTGCATATAACTGGTAAAGAAAATATTTTTACACCGTTAAAAAACCAAAACTTTTACTATTATCTTTCGTCGGATTTTTTTAATAACCACTGGTTATAACTATTAAATATGTTGTATTAAACAATTTAAAAAAAAATCAAAAGCTTTGTTTTGATTCCGAACAAAAACCAAGGAGCATTAATAAAAGTTCTGGTCTTTTTAATGGTGTAAAAACTTTTTTTCTAAGAGTTATATGTGATTAACTATACACTTTGGCGATGGACGTGTTATACGTTTATGACAATAACTCAATGATAGATGGATGTGTATAAGTATAATATTATTTATTGCTTCCCCATAATAGCAATAAAATGCTAAGAACCGAGTAACCGACCAGGCGATATCTAACGATCTCTCATACCAATGTGCATTTTTCCTGTTCTGGTTATTGGGAATAGAGTTATGACGTTTATGAAGTTTTAGCATATCTATTTTATTCGAAATGACGATATGATTTCAGATGTCTAAGCCCTTAGAGATTGAAATAAAAATAGTTACCAATAATACACACATAAAAGTAATGTTGAGGAAGATACTTTTTTTTATTAATTAACATTACATTACAAATTACCTTTAATAGCTGTAATTAAATTATTCTTAACATACATTTTTTTTTATTCAGTCATGTTACATTACTTTTGGGTTAAAAAAGTAACTTCATAAGAACGAAACAAAACAAAACAAAAGTTCAACTTGAGGTGTACTACTAAGGGCGTACTACCATAGGCGTACTACTATTGGCGTACTATTACTAAAAGGAAAATGAATTACGTTTAGTAATTAGAAAATATCTGTACGAATAGAGATTGGTACACTGTGTCTGAAAAGTATCGGTTTTGTATACTACGATTTATCATTGAATTCAAATTTAACATACCCATTGCAGTGACCCACTCAATAACTTATACCAGAGAAAACAAATAAGCAGCACAGCGACTTCCCGGGTTTTTTGATATTAATTATACATATATTTATCATAAAAATGTATAAATACACATTAAAAATTTATTTTAGGTATGTTAGTAACAGTAATTACCTTTAATATAAAATATCATTTATTGATGATTAGATGACTAAAAGGTCTATTATTCTCAAATAATGTATAATAGGCTTATGACTATTGGTTAAAAAATTTTGTACGTATTTACCTACAATAAGTTCCATTTATATCCAATTCACTTCCCAGAAACCAGTTTCAAAGAAAATTGAAGTCTTTTTACTGATCAAAAGTAAACAGCCGGGGACAGACACATGCAAAAGAACACATTTTTGTGAAACCTATACATTCATCGCTTTGCTCTAAATTAAAAATAGGTATAATTATTAATTTAGGCAGCTACTAGTTAAAAATTATAAATAAAATCTATTATCGAAATTAATATAGTTAAAATTGTATTTAATTTCATGTAACAATTATATACTGTAAATTAATATTGGTTTTAATTTTTTAAATGTTTTATTGGAATACAATTTTAATACTTTAATTAAACATTTAAAAATGATTATTTGCCCTGTAGTTGTAATTATAAATTAATATTTCTTCCAAAAGAGTAAAATATACAAAATTATTATTATTATGTCCTATACCTATAACATATCTTTAGGCTGTAGAGAATTAACGACGTCCTGTATTCTAAAGTAAATGTGTAATTTTAATTTTTTGTTGTATTTTCATTGAAATATATCTCTTTTGGTTGATGCATTGTATTCTAAGATATATACTTAAAATAAATAAATAATTCAGGTACAAAAAAATATTATTGACAATATTTAATATTATTTAATTACTACCTATAAGTACCATGTTTTATTAATGAATATAATATTAAATGTATTGTAGAAATAAAATGTACCAATTTATTTTAGATTTAAATTGCATATATTATTATGTTAAGTATTTAGATGATATTTTTAATTTTCATACAAAAATACGTTGTACAATATTATTGTTTCTAATCACTGAAAGACACTTGTGTTCTATTAAGGTCATACATTTTAACTATTCATGTAATGTGTGGTGAAATTGTACATTCATTTTTGATTAATTTTTCTAATAGAATGTCTTCTCAAATAAGGAAATAAAACAAACTATAGGTACATATTGATAATTAATACCACTAAATAAAGTTTCAATGAATTCCGTTGGCTAGTATAATAAGATGGATGCCATTGTATAGATAATACATTCGGGGTGTTATTGCATAAGTGAGTAGGGGGTCGCGTGTCCTCCGTTTCTTTCTAATAAATAACAATCTCACACTATATAAACCCATAATCTATTCTGCAGAGATACATTCAACGATTAATCATGGATTCTTACACTCCAATGGTAAGTGCTTTTTATTTTCTATATATTATCTATGCCAAGTTTTGAAACAAAATATTCAAATACGTAGATAAGTATATGTATAATTAACAGAGTAGGTATTTATCATTTGAAAAATTAAACACGTGACAACTGTTTAATTCAATAGGAATTAAAACCATCTAAATTATTCAATAGGGAACCTCCAAAAAAAAATTAACTTAATTTAAATTTTGGAAAATTTACTAACTAAAATAATTATAATTTATAGGTATAAATATTATTAAATATAAGATAACTTAAAAATTTGCCTTTCCACGCTTATACAAAATAAATATGTGTCTATAGTCTATACTCTATACGTTAAACTTTTTTCAAGTTAAACTTAAGGGGCAGGTATCTGTTAGTACCCCAGATATCTTCAGTTTTTCGAATTGCATTTTCAAACATTTTATAGGTATTATAATTAAATATTTTAAAAATTGTTTTAAACTACATTATGTATAGCCATACACGTTATTTAATTTTTTTTAAAGTTATTTAATTCAAATTTTGACAACATTGGATATTCAACCGCATAATACCGATTCATCTTGTAAATAACAATTTTTATTTTGTGATAATTCAAACTTCATTTTTTTCCACAATGAAAGGTTTAAAATTAGATTAAATATAGTCTACGTTTTAACAATTCAATAGTATTTAAGAACATTTGAAATTTCGAATTTGTTTAGCTTTTTTTTTTGTAGTGTTTATAAATATTTTTAATCTTGGTCAAAAACATTGAAAATCTAATGAAAATTGTGCATAAATTATTCCTGCATACCCATTAAAAAATATTAAAAATATATAGTCACAATTTTTTTAATAGAATTTGAATTATAATAAATTGTAGCGAAAACACGAAATTTATTAAATTATCTTGTAGTTAAAAATTAATACAATTCTGAATTTCTATACATAAGGCTTGTCAAATATAAGGTTTCTCATAAATAATACTTACTAAAATATAAAAATATAAATAATACCCGTTAATAAACATTTGTTTTGATTTCAAATTTCGATATAAATAATGATTTTTAATTATTATAGTGTAATTTAAAGATATTATTCGTGGTGAAATGAAACATTTACATAAAATATTATTATATTTTATTTACACAATGACAACTTAAAAATATTTAGATTCATTTTAAGTTAATGCCCTTTTTGCCACGAATCTGTTAAAATTGTCTCAAAAGTCTATAAAAATAATATATAATACCTACAAATATTATAAAGTTATATATAGGTACTTACTTTGTGAGTAGTAGTGTGGTACCTATATTAAACTATTATAATAATTAATAAATATGAAGTTTTTGACGAAAAAATAATTTTACCTGACTTATTGTTAATAGTAAAATCAATTACTTACTAGTGAAATATCAATATAAATTATAACATAATATGTTAGTAATACTCTCAGTTTCCGCTCAGAATTGTTTTTCTTATCCAAAGATTTATTGTTGAATTTAAATTTAACCTTATCACAATATACATTATAGTCACCAAGTGACTTAAACAATACAGCAGACCAATTTATCCAATTTTTTTAGTTATATTTATAGGGTACCAACATTGTCCAGTGCTTAGGGCACCTGAAACTTAATCCAGTCCTGACTATTATATACAAAGTCAAATATGTACACATGTATACAGTTAACTATAAATTAATTTATTATACCTATGATGATTTAGAAATCTAAAATAATTTGAAATACCTATATTCTTGCTTTTCTGTTGACACACTTATTTAATATAGCCCTATGTGTTATCATTAATTATTTTTGAAACACGTGCTAGTTTAAAATATTCCTGTATATCTTACCATCTCACATAATTAATAGTTAGGTATATATCATTTGCTATACTAACTGCTAAGGTGACATTTGTTACCGTTTACCTAGGATTACATAGATAAACATAATAGACCTTGGTGGGTAAGTCGTAAGCATACTACATAAGCAAACTATAGATTAATTTGAAACATGTAAAATTAAAAATTAAAAATGAATTTTGTACTGAAATTTATTTGAAAAAAGTTATTTAATTAATATCAAACATAATATATTCTATTTGTATTTTTTTAAGATTTACTCACTTTTATTATTTTTATTTGTTTGCATTTAAATAATCACAATACAAATTTTTATTGTACCCTATTGAATGTCATTAATTTACTAAATAGGGATCTTATATAGACATTTTAAATGCTGAGATATTGAAAACTGATTTAACCCGAAACTCTAATTAGTTAGCTAGCTCAGTTTAATATTACTTGTATAAATCATCAACATATTGACTTTTTTCCTATTCAATATTAATTATTTTGTTTATTTGTTTACTTTAAAGTATTTGGTCTTCTTGACAATTTTAATCAGCCGTCCAATCATCGGAGTTCGAGTATACGAACCATCGGAATTCAAATCATCTCGTCTTGTCGAATCAGATAATGGTGCACAAACAAAAAGTTCTGTTTTAGCTAGACAATTTATCATTAGAGGTAATGCTCAAATTTCTGGTTCTGCCAATGGCTTTGGTCACGGACAAGCTGGAGCTTCGGGCATCGGGAGTGGTTCATCTCATGGATTTGGCCAAGGACAAGGTTTCAGTAGTGCATCTAATAATGGTGCAGGTGCTTTAGGAGCAAGCAATTACAATAGCAATAACGTAGCAAGCAATTACAATAGTAATATTGGAGCAGCTGGAAGTGGCAGTGGGTTTGGAAGTGGATCTGGTAACGGAAATGGATTTGGTTCTGGATTTGGTGAGGGAAGTGGAATAGGAACTACTGGTTCGGGTGGTGGTTTTGGGGGAAGTAGTGGATTTGAAGGTTCTACTTCTGGTAGCGGAGGACAAGGTTTTGAAGGTGGTTTTGGAGGAGGAAATGGTCAAGGAGCGAGCGGAAATTTTGGTAATGGTGGAGTATCGGGTGGAAACATAGTAAATGGAGTTGGATTTGGTGGTGGAACGACATCTGGAAATGGCTTTAGTAGTGGTAATGGAGCTATAACCGGAAATGAATTTGGGTCTGGTAATGGAAATGGATTTGGGTCTGGTAATGTAAATGGATTTGAGTCTGGTAACGGAAATGGATTTGGGTCTGGTAATGTAAATGGATTTGGGTCTGGTAACGGAAACGGATTTGGGTCTGGTAACGGAAACGGATTTGGGTCTGGTAATGGAAATGGATTTGGGTCTGGTAACGGAAATGGATTTGGTGGGGGAAGTGAAATAGGAACTGCTGGTTCAGGTGGTAGTTTTGGGGGAGGTAGTGGATTTGGAGGTACTTCTTCTGGTAGTGGAGGACAAGGTTTTGGAAATGGTTTTGGAGGTGGGAATGGTCAAGGAGCGAGCGGAAATTTTGGTAATGGTGGAGTATCAGGGGGTAATACAGTAAATGGAGTTGGAGTTGGCGGTGGAACGACATCTGGAAATGGCTTTGGAAGTGGTAATGGAGCAGGTAATGGTGGGGGTGGATTTGGGGGTGGTCAAAGTAATGGATTTGGAAATGGTCAAGCTACAGGATTCGGCGAAGGTTTTGGGTCAGGAACAGGGGAAGGTTACGGAGAAGGTGAAGGATTTGGTTCAGGAGCTGCATTCAATGGTGGTTCTGGAAACTTACAAGGTCAAAACCAAGTATCTCAAATAGGAAGTGGTTCAGGTGGCCAGGGTGGTGGGTCATTAGGAGGTGGTATTGGATTTGGTTTTGGTGGATCTGGAAACGAGGATTTTGACATAAAAAAATAAAAACATATTTTTGTAATTTTATTTAAATTTAACATCATATTTATTTAATTTATCAACTTTCTATGTATTCAATAAATCATATTTAATAAATTTTATTTATATACTTTAAGATTATTCTACTGTAATTGTTAAAGATTAAGTTTGTAAGCTCGCATAAATTACCTACGAGTTAAATTTTATTGTAAAAATATGTTTATAAATTCATAATTAAAAGAAGCAAAAAAACAAATTCTACATGTTTTATTTATCGACACACTTTTTGTCTTCAATACAACTTTTATTATGATAAAATACTTTAATAATAATAATTTTGTTCAGAAACAAAATGAACATTTGAGTTTGAAAATTTAAAAAAAATACCCTTGTAGTTCAATGTCATACATTTTTTAGAATTAAAAGATTTAAAATTTAAAATTTCTAAATTTTATTTCTAAGATATTTCTTTGAGTTTAAACATTTTGTAACATTTTGTTAAAGAAATTAGAAAAAAATAATAATAAAATTGCAATTTTTTCAAACTCAATTTTCGGTATTTCCAGTACAATACTACAATAAATTTTACTACTTTTTACTACTACAACATCCGAGCTCAGAATTTTAAAAATATATTTATTAAAACTTCAATTTTCTACTTTAGCATGTTTTCTAGTTGGAAAGTGAATCTTGTGGAACTTTGAGATGGTCAAAAGTACAAAAAAAAATGTTCACTCGATCAGAAAACTTGAAATTGTAATACAGCACTAATAGTTAATTCTTGTTAGTGGAAATTAAAAAAAAAGTTGAGAATACATTTTCAATAATGTTTTAGGAGCATCTAATGTTAAAGTGTTAACGAACTTCATCAAAATCACGAAAATCAACAAATTATGTCTAGTTAGAAACTCTAATAATTTTTAAGTGTTTATCTAAGATTTGAAATTGTTATTCAAGATTCTCCTTATGTTTTTGAACATTTAACAAAAAGAAGTTAAAAACAAATTTATTTTTTACAATCGTTTGAAGTTGGACATTGAATATTTAATATATTCACCCGTAAATTTCCGAATTCCCATACAACGATTTTCTTATTTTCTTGTTATTTAAAAACTATAAACCGTAAGTATTTGAAATTTTTATAAAATGTTGTTTTTTTTATTTTCCACTCATGATAACATTTTCAAAATATTTTGACTTGTTCAAGATATTTATAGAAATTTAAAATTTAAAATTATTTAGTTTTTTATTTTATTACATGTCAACAACATTTTATTCATTGGATCGAAAAAGAATGATGATTCATAGTTCCTCATAAGTAGTTATAATAGCAGTTAAGACATTTTTAAGATCCGTTGTCACGATTTTTTTATAAGAATTTAAACTTTAAATGTTTACGGAATTCATCAAAATCTTGACAATTTTGAAACTATTTTATCGTTAAAAATGATATTATGTTCAATTTTTATAACTAAGAATTGGAAATTTAAAACAAGAATTATCATAAATATTTCATACTGAAACCAACAAATCTAAAAATATATATAAGCATAGTTATTCTTTACAAACATTTTAAGTTAAAATTATGTTATACATTACATATTATAACCAATAATAACAATTTTAGTTAATTTGTTGTTTTTTTCAATATTATTCTTGGGTGCTTAAGACTTTTATAGTACATTATTATATTGTATACAGTACACACACAATGACACTTTCAAATGCAATTTTCGGCAAAAATGTATTTAACCTACTGTAGTTCTAATGATTAATAGTAAAATCAATTACCTCAATCACAATATTGATATATTGTGTCATATACATGTCATATACTTAGTAATATTATAGGCTCAAAATCGTTTTTAGTACACAATGTTTATCGAATTCAAATTGCACACATACATTGCAGTGACTCTCTAGTCTCTAGGCACCTAATGTAAAGCAGAGCGGTACCCACATTCCAGCTTCTTTTTTTATAGTTACATATTTTAAGTTTAAATTTGGACAATAAAGTCTCTTAGTAATATTATTGGCTGACAGACTATCTTCCCTCAGAATCGTTTTTCGTATACAATGATTTTAATTTTGATATCATCGAATTCAAATTTAATTCATCTGTTACAGCGACTCTTTATCATCCCTTACTGTACAACAGATCGGTACTCACTTGCCCACTTTTTTATGTTAATTATTGGTAAACAAAGTTCACTTGGTCAAAAAGTTTTAAAACTATTTAATACAATAATCCTAATAAGTTGATATCTACTATATCAATTTAAAAATATTAAAGATATGTAAGAACGAATATTTTCATAAGCATTTGCGGAAATTCAAAATTTTGAAAATATACTGCCAAAGGTGTACTACCTATTCACCAAAATTAAGAAAGTATACAAATCATTTTGTAGTTTAAAATGTTTAAAATGTAACAACTTTTAGAGCTATAAAATGAAAATGTAATAAAAGGTTCTTTATTAGTAGTTCATACTTGAACTGAAAAATCTAAAAAAAAATATAAAAGCACAATTTTTTTTCATATATATATATTCTAAGTTTAAATGTGGACGAAATAAGATTGAATTGAATTTATTTTCATTGAAATTGAATGATATATGTAGATATACATTACACACACATGACACATGTATAATACTATAATATTACATAAAAATGTATACATTTAATGCATTATTTATACATAAAATGATAAATGATTGTCTCCGGAAGCTATAGGTTTGCTGTGGAGACAACTAGACAAGGGAACACAGCCTACTTTTACATATACTATATTAAACAATTTTAAAGATGATATTTGATTTTGTGATTATAAAACTTGTTTATTTATTAAAAATGTTCAATATTTTAGAATTACCGTATGAATATAATAATCATAATAAATTTATATCATATTATTTGTAAAATAATAATTTAATTTTTTGTTATAGCCTTAAGGTTGCAAACAAACTAATAATTAATGTCAATATTTAGCTCCGCTCCATCGCCAACTTAGTGCTAGTATTGGCGAGGCTTTTTTTTTTTTAACAAAAATCGATTTTAAGTTTAGAGATTAAACATAGGTACTTTCATATATTAGTTTGTTTTGTCCTTGTACAATACTCATGCTTAAATTTACATTTTTTTAGATCTAAAAAAATTATTTTTGGCATTATAAGTCTTGCTTGCAATTATTGTCTTAAATTTGATATATCGTAGTATATTTGCAACAACTATAACAAAACATTACGAACACAGATCTCGTTCTATAGTGTTTTTATTTTTTTAATATACAATTTTAAATGATGGACTTATGTAGTTGTTTCAAGTATATTAAGGGGTATAATGACAAGCACGGCCTCAAGTAACAATACCATACGACTGAGCCATGAAAACCATTCTTATAAGTTACTGTATTTTGGAATGCAATTTTAGAGTGTTTTAATATTTAATAGCACAAGTAAAGAGCTTCAAAAAGTAAACACAGATTTGGGTAAGTTGTCAAACTCTAAAAATCTTTAATTAACCTCATAACTTCTATTCAGAATGGTAAATATTATAATGAATATGTAATTTGGGTAAAAAAAAATAAAGAGTGAAGAGTACGAGTTTGATAAAGTGAGGACTAAAAAACGCAAACTTCAAGCAGGCGAGACAAGAGAAAATGAAATCCATATGACTGGAAGTGATAAGTTTAGAATAGAAACATATTTTAGCATATACGAGATCGAGATCGAGTGAACTTGAAAAAAGATGCGCAGTTTGTATTAATACATTTGACAAATATGACTTTTTGACTAATTTAATACTACTTTCGCCAGAAGAAATAACTCAAAAAGCTAATAAGCTTCAAGAATTTTTATAACGATGATTTAGAAAAATCATTCTCTTGTGAATGTGTTCATTTTTGAGCATATCTTCAAAGTACAATCCAAAATATTGATGGAGTTATCGAGTCAATACACTATTACGTGGTAATAATTTAGATACAGTTTTTTCTAACGTATATATTGCTCACGTATGCTCTTATGTATGGCAATAACTAACTGTTCAGCCGAGAGGTATTTTTCTTCGTTAAAACGCGTAAAAAATTATTTGAGAGCAAGTATGGAAGGGGATAGACTAAATTCACTGAATTTAATTGAAACTGAACTAGTAAACAAAATCTACTTCGATGCCATAATAGATAATTTTGCGACTCAAAAGTCGAGCAGAAAGCCGATGAATACTAGACACTAACTAATGAATTTTGAATATAATAATTAACTATTTAAGTATTTTTTACTACCATGTTTTTCATCATTATATTTTATATCATATTTTTTATAATTAAATGTTTTATATGAATGTACATTTTATATCATTAAAATTTTAAGTAATAAAAGAGAAAACTATAATTGTATGATTTAATAAAAATTTTTAGACTAGAAAAATATTTATATTGAAAGGCGACAATTTGTTTAGTGCTTAAAGCGCACAGTGGTTAAATCTGGTACTGTTTTAAGGGGATTGCAAACGTTCAGTTATTTCAACCAAAATGATCTAATCTTTCGTCAATCATACCGATATGCTTAGTAATGATAATATACTTTTGAAGAGTTATTTGAATTTAGTATTATGCCTACTTAAGATCTTAAGCAGTCTAATTTGTTTAAATGTTGTTCCTCGACTACTATACATTTTGATTGAGTAATTAAAATGTATGAAATTTTAAATGTTGATTATTCGAAATTTAAATTAAATATTTAAATGTCTTAAAATGTGGCCTGGTCGATCTCGGGTAAAGCTATTAACGAATTCATATCAGTTTTCAGAAGTCTTATCTCGTAATGAGCTCAGAAGGATCGGCAAAAAGTTCATACAAATTAGCACATATTTTTTGCCATTCACGCGCGCAAAACCGTGACTAGGCATTAGCTTGTACGTGCGCGTACGAGAGCGAGCGCCTTGCTATTTCTCTTACACGGCAGTCACACTCGCTATCGAATAATCACTTACTACTCACACATTTACAATATCCACATGCATGTAATTTTAAAATTACCTGTTTTTTAACTACTTAAAAACTTTCCATTAATCAGCTTTAGATACCTAGTTTTTTTCTATGAGTATCAATTTATATTTATGCTTAAGGTCGTGAAGCAAGTTTTTCTTGAATTTGATTTAAAAAAATTACTATCAAATCATGTTTTGGTGATGCTTGATACACGAGTAGATTTGTTATAACTATGATTTTTATTTATACCGTCAATAATAATTTATGTAGCATCATCAATGCAGAAATTGATCCATTAACACATTACCTACCTTATGGTATTCCTTGAATTAAAATAAAATATAATCTATCAAGAGGACGTTTTACTCACAGGTGTTGTCTCCGTCTTACTCACGTACGGCATACCAAATTTTCGTTCTTTAGTTTCAATAGCGTTGATGTTAGTTTTGATATTACAATGAATTGACCAATTATCAAAGTACCAATAATTCAAGAGTAGGTTTTACTAAACTTTGGAGTCGGAATATAATGTGCGTTCCCTCGTTGATTTCTTACGATAGTTTTATTTTTAAGTGAGTTAATTTTGAGTATGTTAAGTATTTATATTTGAAAAGATTTACTTAAAAATTAAAATATTGTAAAAAACCAACAAGAGAACACAGATTAGTTCCCACCTAAAAGTTTGATAGTAGGTCAATTCACTGTAATATCAAAACTAACAGCACACTATTGAAACTAGTGAACACAAATTTGCTATGCCGTACTTTTGTAAGACAGAGACAACATGTGCAAAAAATTATATTAGTTAATTATCACTTACTATTATTATTATGTATATAAGCTATATAATATTAAGAATTAAATTTGACAAACTACATTTATATTATACTGTACAATGAGAGCTTCTTTAATATTTTGAAGTTTTAAATCATTAACGGTTGTCTGCCAACAAGTTTTTATAAATTTTATACACTGAAAATGACCTCTCTACAGCAATTGAGGTGATAGGAGATAACCAGATTACCTGGTGTTATATAGTAATAGTTCAAAATGAAAATGATTTATATTGCGTATAGTATTATGTCTATATTTCAATAAAGTCAAATTTCTTAGTCATAATACTAGAAATAGTTTAAAAATGTCTTATAATTTTTTTAAATATATTAAAAACGTCAGAAATGCCCTCAAAAATATTAAATCCGCTAAAAATGCAAAACATTTAATAAAATAATTATTTTAGTGGCTTATTATTTTAGTTGTTACATTTTATATTGTGGTTACAACATGGAGTACTTGAAATACATTAGTAACTTGAAAAGAACAATGCTCGACATTCCAAAACAAGATGCAAATGCATTTAAATCAGAGACCTGTAAGGTGCCTATGTATAATATGAGTATTTGACTAAATACTGTCAGTGGAGCTTTATCGGTAAATTTATTTCCCATGAAGCCAAATTGGTACTTTCAAAGTATTGAGCATCATGTTTCTAAGAAGTTATACAGTCTATTTTTAATGCACTTTTTCAAAATTTTAGTTTGTGTAATTGTAAGAGCTATGAGACGAAAATCTGTAGCCATTTTTGTTCATTAGTTTATGTTAATATGATGGTTATAGTACTTTCAAATATACCTATGTGGAAATAATAACGCCTATAGTGAGAACGAGATAAAAAAAATATTATGTTATAGGTATAAGAATATTTTTAATAATACCTTTTAAAATTGTATCTGTTAGCTCCCACCTATTGAACTTAAAAGTAGGTTGAATATTTAAAATACATTTTTTTTATTTCTTCATTAGTACCTATTTAATAAATTAATATAGGAATATTATCATGTTTTCAGTTTATTTTATATATTGGTACCTTAATAGAAACAAAAATAAGTTTAATTCATTCGCAATTATATAATGTTATCTGTTAAAATGTTGTTTTGCTGATTTAGGTAGATATGTTGTTTTCTTTATTACATTTTTATCGAATGCAGGGGTCTCCAAATTACGGCCCACCAAGCGTTTCGAACCAGCCCGCTAACCTCATTGATGTTTTCAAAATATATTAGTTTTATTGTTTTTAATATATTAATTACTAAAAATAATTCTTATACATCATTAACCTCTCTATCCCTAACTGATACAATTTTGGCCCAGGACGCCAAATTGTATCAAAGATTTGGCCCCCCGAAAAATAATGTTGGGGACTCCTGATCTAATGGTTCATTAATTAATTCCTATATTTTTATAGTATATTACCTTTTACAATAGAGATTTGTTTAAAAAAATATGTATCTTTTGCTGTTCTTATAGTTACATTTACTAGATTCCCATATTTTTTTAATATTTATCTCGTAATATATAATTAAATGATTGCTTTTTAATTTTGCGAACAATCTATCTCTATATTTCATAAAATTATTGATTCCAAGTGTTATAAAATGTTCAATATTTTCTTTTTATTATATAGCTTTTTTATTATTTTAGCTCCTTGTGTTATTTTTATGTGATTTTCAATAATATTTGTGAATAGGTAAACTGCTTTATTTGAGTCTTTTAAATTTAAGATCCCTGTCCAATTTATATTGTTTAGATTATTATTTAAATTGTTTATGTTTAGAGCATTAAAAGTATTAATAAAAGTATTATTATCAACTATATTACTTGTAATATGTCGTAAAGTGTCTACCTAGTTAGTACCATGATTGTACTATAATGATCTGTAGTCACACTTTAATAAATGTACCAATGAATATTAAAAGACTTTATTTCTAATGAAATTGTGATCAATACATGTATGTTACTATTGCAATATTTATCGTGTACAAATGTAAGTATACTATTTATACAAGACTTAAGGCCATGGCTACTAAGCTAATTTAAATATTTAATACAAATTATGTCCTCAATCATTATGCTTAAAATGTATGTCTCCGCAGATAATACGTGATAGAAATTTGAAGGCATTACTCCTTTAATATGTCTTCTAAATTCTCAATAAAATCCGTTTTATTTAAACTGGGTGATGACCTATAGAGTATGGTTGCATGTTAGTTTTATTAAAATATTATTTAATGAAATTGAAAAACCTAATGAGCTACAATGATATTAATACCTCAAATTATTACATCATTTACTATAGTAGAATCTTTAAATGTAAACAGAATATCCATCAGATATATTTAATGAGCTATAATAATTGTAAAAATAATAGCCTTTTTTATCAGATTTGCCGATATCACTCTTCATGTTTAAGATAACATAATAATATCAAAATGTATATTAGCTGAACTTAAAACCACTAATAATTTATTTAAACGTTTTCTGATACTTAAAAGTTATAAAGCTAAGAGCAGACAACTGAGGACGGTCATTCTGATACGTGCGCTTAAGGTGTTAGGTACAAATTCATTTGTTACAAACGTCTTGTACTTAGTTAGAATTTTCATTATTAAATAAAAATTTTAACTACACCAACATTTTTTGTCTGTATCAAGATTTTGGTATGTATTTTAATAACTTGTCCTTTTTTTTGTTTTAATAAGTAATTTATTGCATTAATTTGTAACCATTTATTTTAAATTTTTTTTTTTGCCAACTAGAATATTTTTTTGTTTTCTTTTGTAAGTTGATAATTTTTATTTTATTTTCAGGAAAGTTAGTAAGTATGTAGGTTATTAGAAATTAACTGATTTTTATTTTTATAGCATTATTTTACTGACTTTATAATAGAGTCATAAGGTCATGAAATTTAATTTACAGGTGAATATCCAATTTTGTCAAAATTTAAATTTCAGACACAAAAAAAATATTTGTGGAATAACGCTCCACTTTTTTTATTTAATTTTCTTAATAAAAAATTATGTGAAACCTTGTATTACATTTTCTAGCTTATTATTGAACACACTAACATTTTTTTATCGACATTAACAGTTAAATCATTGCATAGCAAAAACAATTCTGAGTGGAAATGGCTTGTCAGTCTATATTAGAGCTACAACCTACTAAGTATATTTTATGAAATATTAATATTGCTATTACAGTAATTTATTTTACAATTAGCAATATTAGGTAGTTTGAAAAAAATTTTGCCGTTAACATTGCATTTAAAAATCGTATTGTATTAAAACATAGTTTTAAATAAGTATCAAAGTTTTAAACATAATATTTTTAAATTAAAACAAAATAACCAAAATACTTTTTCTCCGTTAAAATATCTTATTGCATCTAAATTTTAAAATATAAATTAAAAAAATTGTGTGCATTTATTTTTTAGATTTTTTGTATACAGTACGAATATTTATTGAGGGACCATGTATTAAATTGTCATGCTTTATTACAATACCCAACATAAAATTTTCATCGGCATTAATAAAATAAAAACTAAAAAGATACATCTTCTCAAAACAAAGATTTAAAATATTATGAAAAATGTATCATGTATAGAAAATGCTATTATAAGTTAAAATATCTACTGTAATTATGTATGAGTTAAAGCCAAAAAAATAATTTTACCTAAAAAATCATCTTGATGTTTAATAAACAATATGTCTTAAAACTTTGAACTCTAGACTACGCATAACAAATCGCTAATATATATATATTTTTTAATTTCCAGTATGAACAAATTATGAGGAATAGTAAACTAAATTTTCAAGCATTAATAATTGAAATGATTTTATGATTTTATCTACAAAATAATGCAAAATGTATATGAATTAAAAACAATTTTTTAATTTTTAAGGAACAAAAATGATCAAATTTTCCTAATTAAAAAAATAGTTAACATCATACATAGTACTATAATAAGTATTTTTATACGTTTTTATTGAATTATTTTGTCGCATCGGAACCATCGTAAGGAACAGAAATATAAATCGTCGGATTCGTCGGATTTACCTATGGCACTACGTAAAATGTACAACACTGTTTCCTACTCGAGTGCAGCCTTTGAGATGAGTGCGTGCGATTTCTATTGTAACCTGCAGCACTGCTCCACCTCGGTTCGATGCTTCCGATATGGCGAAACACTGTTTTGTTTTTAGTTGCATTTCTCGAATTTATAAAGAGTACAGCTTAATCAATAAAAATTTGAAGTCTTTATAATTATAATAATTTTACTTATTAAAAGGGAAAATAGAATAAAACGATATCAGTTAAAAATATTTTAGTTTTTCACAATTACCATAAAAAAAATCAAACACTAAAATAATATATTCTGATCAAATTCCTAGTTCAAAATTGTAACTTATTTTGTGTGCATATTTACAGCATCTAAGCTAGTTTAGTTATTTTTCACATTTTAGTTATCTTTCGAAATATAAAATAATTGTTTAGGTAATTTAAATATATTGGTTATTTTACTAAAACTGTTGAGCTGTTAAAACTTATATAATGTGACATATTATAATGCGTAATATTTTGACATTTTGACATATCTTTAATGATATTTTATTTACCTTTAGAAGTGGTAATTGGATAATGGGAAAATGTAATAATAATTATGAGACCATCAACATTTAATATCTGTCAATCAAAAATTAAATTAATATTCGCTCTATAAATATGAACAATAGTGACCCTTGTTCAATCATCACCTTAACGTTACTTGATGTGTTTTAATTATTTTCAGTTATTGGACCTTTACTTAGAACTCCTGCGTAATATTAAAACGGGGGAGAGATCTCTATAAATAAGACCAACAACAGCTGACGACCAGCAGTTCACCAAAATACTGCAAACTATATCCACGCTTATCTGAACATTCATTCCATCAAAGTACGTATTTTTTTTTTTAAGTATTTAGCCATAATATTTAAAGGATAGGACTTTGGTTTGATAATTCGATATTTAAAAATTGTATTTGATAGTAACTGTCAGTTTATTCATATTGTTCAGAACTTTATTTAACATTGTTTTCTGTTTTTGTGCCATTTAAGAATACAATGAAGATAAGTCTATATTTGAGTGTACTCCTCTTGGCATTTGTGGTCAAAATTGCAACAGCAAATGTTAGACTTCAGCGTTCGCCTCAACAATACTGTGGTTCGAGATTGGCAGACATCATGAAAATGATATGCAAGAACAAGTACAATGGACCAAAAAGAAGTCCTGCAATCGGTAAGTTCATAATTTATACCTTAATAACACTTTGAGTAGAAACTAAACTAAGAATAAAAATAATACATCATTAAATTCAAAATAAAATTCTGAGGTAGGTAATTCTAGTTAACTAAAATCATTGTTGTTGATTCAAACTTAAAATGTTTACAACTTTACAAGTTATAATACAAAATAATAATAAAAAAAAAAGTTTTTTTTTTAAATTATTATTTTCTCAGTGTAGGATTTTAACAATAATTACTTAAATGTTACTATAATAAGCTGTAACTGAGAAAAAATGTATTTAATACTCTATTCAAAATCCAAACAGTATTAAAATAATAATGCTTAAAACATTTGTTAACAGATTCAGATGTATGGGATTACAAGGACCTTGAGGACTACAATGCAATTGGCTACCCATTCATACCGATGAATGAAGCACTGTCATTTATGCCCTCACGTTTACTTCGCCCAGCCAAAAGAAGTATCATCGATGAATGCTGCCACAGACCCTGCTATTTAGCTGAACTTAAAACTTATTGTGCAAGTCAGTAATGCTGGAATACAGGACTTTGTTGAAGTGTTTTTGAACGCTGAATAAACTATTATTATATAAACGTTTTATGTATATTTATTTAAATCCATTCCACATTAGTCTCCATATCGAGATGATTGTGCTTAAAGCATATTGTATGAAAGGATAAACACATTTCATACACAATTAGTCATAAGTATAGCAACTACAACGGTGTCTGACACTGAATAATTATAAAGTATTTGAGTTTCATCTATTGCTCAGCGACAAATGCCATTTGGATCAAGTTCAACAAGATCACAATGCAACTTGATTAGTTGGATCTAGTGACAACTTTTAAATTTTGTGATCCTACTGTAGGTAGTCTGTGAAGTAGAATCTTGTTTTGATCAAATGAAAAATTAAAATATTCTATATTAAACATTTAAAGTGCCTAAGTTAAACATTCAATAAATAGAATGTGTAGGTAATCATTTATTATACCATAGATCTACCTACCTCTCTCACCTACATTGTATAAGAAAACAAACACACCAGCACGGTGTGGAGCAGTGTCTTTACGCTCGTTGCGTATGAGCTCTGAGTGTATACGTACCGGTCGGTGTAGCTACCTCCCGGATTGGTGACCACCCGGGATTTTTAGCAACAAAATCTTGCCACGAATACAAATACGTGTTCCAAACTAACCGTACAGCCCTACAAACAGTTGGCCATAGTTGCCTGGCTTTAGATCAATAAATAAATTTAAAAAAAAAAATGTAATGTATTAAAATTTAATTATTATACTAAAATGTTATTGTTAACCAGCTAATTACAATTATTTAATAATTATTCAAATAATATTTAATCAAGTACCTACCTACCTACTAAATCGTTTAACATTTAAAAAAATTCGATCAATTGACACACTCGTAGTAAGATACTTAAATATTTTCTTTTAATACACAAAATAGTAGAATAATTGTGTCAAATCTTAAGTATCTTAATTTCAAACTAAAAAAATATATAAATTATAGTTAGGTATAATTTATTTATCCACTATTGCTAAATACCTAGGTATTTAATGTTTTTGTTTTCAAAAACAACATTATATGAAAAAAGATCGAAAGAAATTCATCGAACGTGGTTCTTACATGGCAAAAATAATTGCTGTTTTAAGCTGCAGCAGCGGTTATTCGTCAGGTATTTATCTCTGAATATTTTCCGAAGTATTTTTAATTCCATATGTATGAGTTATGATGAATTAATGACTATGACATTTTTAAACCACAAAATAGCTATGTATTAGGTACCATAATATCTACCTCCCTACCTACCTATTTATAAAAACATAAAGTATAGCTTAACTCTTATTAAACTTTCACGAGGTACTTATAATACATTTTTTTAACGTATTAGATATTTAGATAGTATATACAGAGCTGGACAAGTTAACTATTTTTTTTTAAATAAATTCATTTGAGGTAGGTACATCCTATTCCGGTGTTACCATTGATTTTATAATATAATACATTATATATTATATTAATTTATAGTATATTATAAAATCAATGGTAGCTACTACCTATCTAAAAAATAAAAATAAAAATGTTGTCCAGAAGTATAAAATATACCTATACGCTATACCTAATAATCATAACAAACTATTATATGATCTTAATCGTGGTTCATGGTAGGTATAGTGCTTAGTAAGTAGGTAATGAACATTGAACAATGATATGTAATATTACCTATTTGTAGCACGATACTCACGATTATAGATACATAATATATATACATATATAGAGACTATTATCAAATACTACGTAGTAGTATGATGATATACCACAAAATAAATAAGTATAATACTACCACGACAGATATCTATAGACTATACCAATACCATGGCTAAATATATTTAATAATATATAATATAATATTATATTTATAATAATTACCCATAAACTATACTATGAAGTATGAATACATCTGTAAGTTGTGACTACCTAGGTACTATACACAATTTTATTTGTCGCTAACACCGGCACACGGCACAGGGCACTGATAACTGATACATCGTATGATAACAGGAAGCACGTCGCACGTGAGTGATAATTGTTTACCATCGCAGTAGCCAGTATAGGTTCCAGTATTCCAGATTCTAGGTACGCTTCGATGTGGCGTGCAAATGAACGAACTTTTCAAAGTCACATCCCCCCCCCCAAAATTCACTTATAAACTTTAAAATTTCGATGACCCGATCGGTTCAATGGGAGAGACTTTGCAAGAACGACAAACGAACGAATTAGAAGCATTGAAAGTAAGTTTTTTAAGCTCGTTATGTTGCCATCTCCATTTAAAGACAATAAACATTAATGTTTAAAATGATTTTCACTGTGTTTAGTCGATTTTCAATGATCAGTTAACGGACAACAACGAGTGTATAGCCGGTGATGTTTGGAAACCACTGGATATTACTATAACAGTATTGCCCGAAGGATTCACAAACTTGCAACAAAATAACATTCTAGTTGAACTGCATGTCAAGGCATTAGACAATTATCCTAATGAGTAAGTTAGAGTGACATCTTATGGAAAATATTGTCTTCTTCTTCCATAGTAGATTAATATATGCGCACTCAACTGAATAAAATAAAATAATACAAATATTTTGCCCAATATTTCATTTTTAATTAAATATAAAAATATTTATACATATTGGCATATTGCTCACTGTTAATACTTAAACCAGTGACTTGTGTACTCAGCTTGTATGAGTCAATTGCTGTGCTTTACAAGTCGTACACAAAATATTTTATCATGAACTATACCATAGAAGCTCATTCTTGGTTGATGGTTTTCCATCTGTTGTTAGTAAGCACAAAGCACCAATCACAATTTTAAGAAATTAAAAATAATTGTATTATTTGTAGGCTCGGCGAACATTTGTGATTATGATACCGATTGCATGAGTCGTGTAGGACCAGCTTAAATCAAGTGTAAATATGTTTACTTTTTAAAATCTGTATTTATGAACTATATAAATGTAAGCAGTTATTGCATCCATATTTCCTTTTTTTTATCAGAAAGTTGTATCCCTGCATTTCTTAGCATTAAACAAAGCGGGGGGCCAGCAAGTAAGAAGCACGTACTAAATAACTCTTTCAGGTTAATGCCTCAAAACACATTTTGAAAAAAAAAACATAAAAACCACCATTTGTACAGAATTATATTTTGTTCTTTGTATGTTTAAATATATTTTCTGGGGACGCCTTTCAACAATAGATTTAATCTTTGCTACTGTGAGACCCTTATAAACAAATTATTTAAAATATATTTTATTAATAATATGTTGATTTTTATTGCAGAATACCATTGATAAGTCTTAAAAATGCTAAGGGTATACCAGCAAACTATCTTATGCATTTAGAAAAACAACTAAATGAATTAGCTTCTAAAATAATTGGCGAAGTAATGATATTTGAACTCGTTCAACAAGTTCAGGTAACTGACGTGAAATAATTCATAAAATATTAGTATTTATGTTTAATTATTTAAATCAACTTATATATTTAAAAAAAATTTTTTTTTTATTTAGAATTTTCTTTCTCTATACAATAAACCTCAGTATGCTTCATTCTACGAAGAAATGATGTCAAGGAAGCAACAAAAAGAGTTTGAAGAAAGAGAAACTAAAAAACAAGAAGTTGAATTGACTGTAATTATATTTTTTATTTATGAATATCAACTGTTAGATTGGTAATGAAGCCATTACAAATTTAAAAAAAATTTTATTTAGAAACAATTGATTCACAATGAAATGTCTAAAAAGAGAGAAGCTCTTAAAGAAGAACTAAGAATGCATAAAAATAAAACAAGACATAACACTATTGAAACTATAATAGACGAAGATGAAGAAGATGAATTAAATTTGAAGTAAGTGAAATAGGTACTAACACTTAAATATGTAAAAGTACCATAGACCTTATACTCATAGGCGGAGTATGAATGTAGTTCCAGCGGTCAGACTTTAGTTGTCGCTTGGATGTTACCGAATTACACGGTGCATGCACACTAGATGATGCAATAAACTGTATATTAATGTATATAATATACGACACATATATGTCACATAAATTGTCATGACCGCCCTACCCCCCTTTCGCCATGCATGTTCCACGTATTAGTATAAAGTCTATGGTAAGTACCTAATAAATATAATTTAATATTGATAAAAATTACAAATACTATTGCAAATCTCGCATTCATATAATTTTAAAATAAATGATCACATTTAAATTATTTTAACCTATTTAAGGTTACAATTATATTTATAATTCATTTACATATTGTCAAAAACTAATTTATAACTTTAGTAATTTATTTATAATACATAAATACATTTTAAACATCAATATTATAGTTTCAAATATGTCATTTTATTTAATTTAAGTAAAGTTTTTTAAAAAAGTTTTGCAAAGTAACAAGTAACAAGCATTCTGCATATTGAATATGTATAAAAATCCAAACCATAATTTTTTTTTCAGAGAACTTTCGTATTCATTAAATACTAATTCACCATTGAAAATAAATATTCAGCACAAAGTAATGTATCTTTTTAGTAATATATTTATTTTATTTTATTTTATTTTTGTTAATTTACCTCAATGAGTTAAAAATAAACTATGTTCTTACGATAATTAATTATAAAATATATAATAATAGTTAATTCATAAAAATATTATTTTATTTGTTTTTAGGATCAAATAGATGAAAGCAATTGGAACGATAACCATATTTTTGAGTATAATTTTACCTCCTCCCAATCCAGACTCGATAAGGAATTTGTTATTTTGGATTGGCTGGGGAAAGGAGCATTTGGAGATGTCCTTAAGGTTTGGTGATGTTGCTGATTTTCATTCACTCAATTAATCTTAGTTAGACACTCTCATATATAATTTATAGTTATTATACATTTGATTATTTTAACAGATTAAACTCATTTAACCTTCAGTATGTCCTCGAATTCAGAGTACCTTTTCGGGTTTGGGGTAAAAATTTCTCTTGATTAAACATAATTTAATTTTCTAACTAAGTCATATT